TAGCAGGTAGGTGCTGCTGAGATGCTTCTGCCAATAGACAGAAGACAGCTGGAGGTGACATTCTTTGTGGCCCCCGTCTGTGTGCAGTTAGTCATCTAGAATGATCCTACTTGAGAAGGAGGTGGCCTCTGCAGCTCTCTCTAGGTCATTATAAGGTGTCTCCCCTGGGAAAAGGTGCTTCCTGCAGAGCTCTGACTCCTCTGAGGCAGGAAGACAGCCTCACCACCCAACCACAGCCTGGGTGGCCCCGACTCTTCCCACTTCAGAGACCATGTGTGAGCTGTCTACTTCATCTTATCTTACATTTAGGATTTCTCCCTTCCTGGTGCACCCACATCTCAGAAATAAATGTGGTGGGGGAGACCATTAATATAAAGATCATCTGGTTCATGGGACATTTCCTATAAAGGGAAATGTCTCCCACGTGAAGTCAGGAACTTGGTCATGGCCTGTGGGGTTGTAGACCAGATTGGCTCGTGCTGTGCAGAGTTCCACAACCACCGTATAACTTCGGCACCTCAGAAGGGAACAGGAGACAGGACTGATATCTGGCAGATCAGTAGGGGAGGGGGCCCCAGGAATGGGCCAGCGCGCTCGCTGTTTGTTGGAAGGAGGTTGGGCCACTTGGGGTTTCTGAATCTCATTCTCTTAAACTGCTTTCTTTTCTTTTTTTTTTTTTTTGGTAGTACTGGGGCTTGAACTCAGAGTTTTATGCTTGCTAGGCCAGCGCTCTACCACTTCAGGCACTCTGTCAGCCCTTAAACTGCTTTCTTAAAACATATTACTTAGTTTAGTAGATGTATGAGTCCTTATTTTGATTTTTATTGTGCATTTTAAACATTTTTATTAGTATATAATTGTTATACAGGGGGTTCATTGTGACATTTCCATGTATGTGTGCAATGTGCCCCATTTGGTTCATCCCCTCCATTATTCTCCCTCTTCCCCCTCCCCTTCTTAAAATGACTTCAATAGGTTTCAATGTTCCGTATTCATACACTGTATTGACCATTTTCACCCTCCTTTACTCTCTTCATTTACCCTCCCTCTCCCACTAGTACCCTCTCCTTAACAAGACCTGGTTTACATTCCTGTCCTTCATTGTTTAAGAGTCTTTTCATTGTTCAGTGGGGTTTTGCCTGGGCATTTTACCTGTAAATATATTGTACTGTAATCAGTCTAACCCCTTCTGTTAGTCTTCCTTCCCCTTCCCCTACCCCACATTTTCAACAGCTCTCAGTGTGTTTCGTTGTGTCTTCTTCCTACACAGACATATTTCAATATTATTTACTTTCTAGCATTCTTTTCTTCTTGCCCTCTTCTCCTTGTATCCTCTAACAGTCCCACGGTATATGTATATATGTATATATATCGCTAGATATAGCTAGAAATATATAGATATGATAATGCTTGTATTTGTATTTGGATCTATCTTCCACATATGAGAGAAAGCATGTGACCTTTGTCTTCTGTTCTTGGCTTACTTCACTTACCATGATGTTCTCCAGTTCCATCCATTTACTTGTGAACAAAATAATTTCATTCTTCTTTATGGCTGAATAATATTCCATTGTGTATTACCACATTTTCTTAATCCATTCATCAGTTGTATGACATCTGGGCTGTTTCCATAGCTTGGCTATTGTGAGTAATGCTGAAATAAACATGGGTGTGTAAGTGTCTATTGTATCCCTTTTTTTTTTTTGGCAGTACTGAGATTTGAATTCAGGGCCTCAAGGTTCTAGGCAGTTGATCTGACCCACATTCCCAGCCCTTTTCTTGTGTCCTGATGCATATTCCTTAAGATATATGTTCAGGAATGCTATTTCTGGATCATATGGCAGTTCTATTTTTAGTTTTTTTTTTTTTTTTTTTTTGAGGAGCCTCCATCCTGCTTTTCATACTGCTTTTTTGTACTAATTTACATTTCCACCAATAGTGGAATGCACCAGCTTAGATTCCCACCAGCATCGTATGAGGGTTCCTTTGTCCCCACATCCTTGCCAACATTTGTTGTTTTTGTTCTTGATGACAGCCATTCTAACAGGAGTGAGGTAGAATTTTAATGTGGTTTTGATTTGCATTTTCTTTATGGCCAGGGATGGTGAGCATTTCTTCATGTGGTTTTTGGCCATTTGGACTTTTTCCTTCAATAAAACTCTGTTCAGTTCATTTGCCCATTTCTTCATTGGGTAATTGATTCTTTGGGAGTTTATTTTTTGAGCTACTTGTAAATTGTTTATTAATCCCTTGTCAGATGTATAGCTGGCTAAGATTTTCTCCCATTCTGTGGGCTGCCTCTTCTATCTGGTGACCATTTGTTTTGTTGTGCAGAAGCTTCTTAGCTTCATGTAGTCAACTTGTCGATTTGTGATTTATCATACATTGCGAGGGAATTTCATTGTGATAGCTACATACATGCCTGCAGTGTATGCTGAGCAAGTTCACCCTGCATTACATTCCCATTCTTCTCTCTTCCTCCCTCCTTCAAAGTGTTGGTGGATTTCCTTATGCTGTGCGTACTTCCATCCTCTTCCTCTTGGTATCTTTTCCTTTTCCCTCCTCCTCCTGCCAATTCTCCCCAGACAGTTCCCATATACATTCATGTCCCACCACTACCACCACCATCATCATTTTAGGTCTAGATTCCACAAATGAACAAGAACATGCGATGCTGGGCCTTTTGCACTTGGTTTATCTTACTCAACATGGTCATCTCCAGCTTCATCCATTTTCCTGAAAATGACAGTTTCATTTTTCTTTATGACTGAGTTAATATTTCATGGTATGTAAGTATGTAATGTATGTATATATGTATAATATATATAATATTTTATCTATTCATAGGTTGTTGGATGCCTCAGCTGATTCCACAGTTTGAACGTTGTGAACAGAGCTGCAATAAACATGGGTATTCGGGTATCTGTTGTGTATGTTGATTCACACTCCTTTGGATATGTGCCCAAGAATGGTCCAGCAGGGTCAGGAGGTAGGTCTGCTTTTAGTTTTTGGAGGAGCCTCCATGCTGATTTGCACAGTGCTTGCACTAGTTTACATTTCCAACAACAGTGCATGAGGGTTCTTTTCTTTCATCCTTGGCTGCATTTGTTGTTGTTTGTTTTTTTGATAATGGCTAATCTGATTTGCATTTATTTCCTTTATGGCTAAGGAGGTTGACCATTGCTTTGTGTATTTATTAGCTATTTGTATTTCTTCTTCTGAGAACTGTCTATTCATTTGCCCATTTATTAATTGAATTATTTGTTCTTCTGCTGTTGGTTTTTTTTTTTTTTTAGCTCTTTGTACATTCTGGATATTAATCCTTACCTGTTGAGTAGCTGGTAATGATTTTCTTCCAGTTTGTGGGCTGTCTCTTGATTCTGGTGACTGTTTCATTTGATTTTTTAATTTGATGCAGTCCCATTTGTCAATTCTTGTTCTTATTTCCTGGGCAACTTGAGTTCTAGTCAGAAAATCATTACCTATACCTATATCTTCCAGAGTTTCCCTATGTTTTCCTGTAGTACTTTGAATGTTTTAGGTCTTACTTCAAGATCTTGATCCATTTAGAGTTGAGATTTCTTTGTAAAGGTGAGAGATAGGACTCTAGTTTCAGTCTTCTGTATGTAGATAGCCAGTTTTCCCAGCATGCGTGATTCCTTATTATGTGACAAACATTGGTATGTAGCTACTAATTCAGATACTGAAGACCAATTGACAATAAAACAAACACTGGAGATTTTATGGAGCCATAACTGAACCACACGAAATCACCTTAAATTCTTGTCTTGCTTCACCTTCATTTTGTCCACTGTTTCTCCAAAGAACAAAACTAGGTGCATCATAAACTGTAGTTATTTTCCATTAGGGGCTTTAGTTTTTTATGTGACATGTTTTATAGTACAAATTAAATTCTATGAAAGTGGCAGCAAATTTTATTTAGTTTTAAGAAAAAAATATCAAACCCTTGTATTTATTTATTTTGTTTTGGGACAGGGTCTTGTTATGTCTGTAGTCCAGCCTGCCTCAAACTTGTGACCCTCTTGCCTCCCTTTCTGTAGCTGGGAATACAGATGTGTGATACACCTGGCTAGTTTATTTTTTTAGTTGTGCTAGAAATTGAAGCCAGAACCTGGCACATGCTAGGCAAGTGCTCTACCATGGAGCTACATCTCCAGCCAATGTCAAATAATTTCAAAACACATTTCTCCTATTTTAGGGGCTTTTGATGGCTTTGCTTTATTGGGTAATCTGACACAAATGGAGGGACATTCTTTGCTGGCCTACATTTGTGGGGGTCACAGCTATATGATGATGCCTTTGGTAAGAACAGCCACCATTTATGGAGTATGTATTAGGTACTACCACTGGAAATAGGTGTTTTTGTATTTGTATCACTTACCCTTATGTACTTTTGCCCCCACAGATAGGTGAAGAAACCAGGAGGCTAAAAACTCATAGCTGAGCTGGACAAAGCTCAGGGCTCGTCTGTTCGTTGAGCTTCTTAGACTGAGGGTTCCCATTTGACTTTGGGACCTCAGACCCAGCAAGTGCCTGATGGACAGCAGGCAAGGACAAAGAAATATGTGTCAAAGGAGTGGACTTCAAAAAAGGCAAACTGGAGCCCCATTCACTATTGAACAATTACACATCTGTGGTACCATTAGCACTGTTATGGTTTGGGTCTTGAATGGCCCCCAAATGCTCATATGCTAAAGGTGTGGTAGGCAGCTTGTGGTACTACAGGGAGGTGGCAGAACCTTTAAGAGGTGGAGCCTAATTGGAGGAAGTTAGGTCATTGGGGGTGTGTCCTTGAGGGGGATACTTGGGATTCTGGTCCTGCCCTCCCACTCTCATTTCCTGGCTGCCAGAGGGTGAACAGGGTCCACCACATACTCTCACCACGATGTACTGAGCTCCCACAGACCCAAAGAGAAGGGCCGAGTGACTATGAACTGAAATCTCTGAAACAATGAGTCAAAAGAAAGCTTTTCTCCTTTTAAGTTGTTTATGTCAGGTATTCTGTCACAACAACAGAAAGTTCACGAATACAAACACATACAGATTAGATAGAGAGTAAAGCTTTCACAGAGTATCCATCTGTAGTAGATAAAATACACAGGTGAAAAAGAAATCTCTTCAAAGTCTCCCTGAGAATCCACAACGTCTGTGTCTGTCCAGCAAGGTGCTGACCACTTTTCTGATAAGTTTGCTTTTCAGGTCAGCTTATCGATACTCCAATTATTCCTCGTTTTTAAATATTTCTGCTTCTCACAATTAAAATGTGGTCATAAGAGCTTGAAAATTACACATTCAGTGATCAGTTTTTTTTTACAAAATTTTTAAATTCTTCATAAAGCAATGAGTTCCCAAGATGGAGTACTTTTTGCCACCTGAGACTTTAAAACTAGCTCTTTGGTTGCCTGGCTACATTCAGTGCCTGAGAGTTCTAGCTTTGGAGTTTTCTCTGGTGGCCATTCTGATCACACCTCTGGGGCAGATGTGAGCAGTGAGTCATTGCTGTGTCCAGCTGAGTGGCTTTCTTCCTTGGAAACTAGCTCTGGAGGTCCTGGCCCAGATGGGGTTTCGAGGCTGCAGCTGTCACCAGGATTCTGCTTGCTGCTTTCAAAGTCGTCTGTAATGACACTTAGTTTGTCAAAAACTTCATTTTCGTCAGCGAGTGGGTAGGAAAAAAACAGGAGTGTGCTGTGATGAGGGTGGCCCAAAAACTGCAGGAGAAAAAAAAGGATTGCTCATTATCAAACGTGCCCATTTCTTTTTCTGGGCTTACAAAGATTTTACACAGAATATCTGGACTGGAAAATGGTACTTTAAAAATGCTAGCAATAATGGCTGGGAGAGTGGCTCAAATAGTAGAGTGCTTGCCTAGCAAGTGTGAGGCCATGAGTTCAGAACTTCAGTCCTACCAAATAAAAATGTAACAATAACACTGTGTTAGCTCCTTTAAAAATTAAAAATAGAATTACTTATGATCTACCAATTCCACTCTTGGGAGTACTTCCGAGAGAAATAAAAGCAGGGTGTTGAAGAGGTATTGTACACCTGTGTTAACAGTAACTAAAAGGCCAAGTGTCCATCCTCAGGTGACTGATAACAAGCCTGGTGCACCCCCACAGTGGCACACTATTGAGCCTTACGAAAGAGGAGCTTCTGACACATGCCACAGGATGGAGAAACCTTGATGACATTACACTAAGTGAACGAAGCCAGTCACAGAAAAGACGAACAATGTCTGGTTTTACTTATCTGAGGCACCTAGAACAATCAAATGTATACAAAGAGACATTAGGATGTGACTGCCAGAGTCTGGTACAACAGGAGAGGACAGAGAGTCTTTAATGGGCACAGAGCTTCTGTTACGTGAGGTGGAAAGAGTTCTGGGCCGGATGGTGGTGACAGGCGCACGACCGTTCTAAGAGTCTTAAAGCTTTATTTCTTTACACTGAGAATTTTAATGTATCTTTGAGAAAATGGTTGGAGAGCTCCATGGTGTGGCCATGATGCTGTCAACCATTAAATCCTAACCATGGCTGTCTATGTCTCTCATCATTTTCCGTTTTGGTCTTTCTCTAAAGCATTTACTCATGAAGAACTACTCTAGAAAGTACTTATTTTTCCAGTAAGTTAGTTTTCTTTAAATATTTGCTCTTGTTGGTTTTGCTTTGTGTTTTCCCTGGAAAACTTTATAACTGTTGCCTGTTGACATTCTGCAGAAGCAGCTTCTAACAACCTGAGCAGTATTTTGAGATGGTAAGACAGACAGAATTAAACTTAAGGATGGACTCTAGGTCAGCCCAGCCTAGAAGCCACTTTTTCTAAACCTCTTAGTTTCTTCCAGTTTCAAAAAAAGGTCTTATTGGCACTGAGTCCTTCAACCATCTGTCACTTCTTTCCCAACATGAGATCAGATCAGACCAACGGGGTCACATCTCATCCTGGCAATGAGGCCACAGAATGTCTACAAGAATTGTTTAGAGACAAGGGAGAAGCTGTCAGAATCCAAAAGGATTCACTTGTAGCCACCCTTCCAAAGGTAACTAAAGCTGAGTGGTTATGGTTATTAACACTAAAACTCTTCCACCAGGCACGTATGGCAGAAGGTGAAGTCACACCTTTGGCCAAGGTCTTCTACTTAAGTAGAGAAAATAAAGTGACTATTTTTACTGACTCCAAACACATGCCACAGGATGTGTTGTTGATAGTATGGGAATTTGAACTCAGACTTAGTGCTTGAGTGGTAGGTAGGTGCTCTACCACTTGAGCCATTCCTCCAGCACTCCAAACACATTTTTTTCGTAGTCCATACTTACGGAGTTATTTTAAAGAAAAAGAGGATTCTCCTACATAATTTAATAGGCTGCCTTCTGACTCTGACTTCTTCTTGTATTCTGCTTTCTAATGGTATTTCTATCTTAGGCTTAAACAATGGGACCTTTTGACTTCAGCCACTGCAACTTGTTCCCTTCTCAGGTACTAGTTTACCCCTGGCCAGGAAACCTAAACGCTGGATTGGCTGACACCGTAATTCCTTCTATCTTGAGCATAGGGAGCTGGAGATTATAAAAAGTACTTAAAAACTGCTTTTACTAAAAGACACCGAGGCTTTACTTGGGCCCACAGTTAACTAAAAAAGAGGATTAAAAACTGTATTTCTGCCTCCATTTTATATTTTGTCCTCTTTTCAATGAGCCATTGTTCTGTCAGCTCACTTTGGATTCCCAGAACAACAGGACTGATGGATAAATATCTTGTGACAAGAGTCAAATCAACCCCCAGGCAGCACTCTTTTATTCTGACACCACCATGAAGGACTGATCAACCCCGAGATAATGTTCAGTTGGAACACACCTTTGATAAAGAATGCTTAATTATACCTAGCTCCTACCTCCTGCCCCCTGCTCCTAATCCAGCTACTTGCCTCATCTGACCTCTAATTTTTAACACCCTTGTTAAATTTCTCACCTCCAGTCTACAGAATATCCTTATCCTCAGATGACATTAACAACTTCCTACCAACATTGTTTGGTTCCTGGCTACGATGGTCCTTCGTTTCATGACAACTACAGTCCTCCTGGTCCAACAATGGGAATTCCATATTCTCAGCAGCCATCTTTGCCTGAGTCCAATCAAGTGACAAAGAGCAAGACTCTATCCCCCTCCCCCCCCAATATCCTCCCTCTCCATCATCAGGAAGCAGTTAGTTGGATCTCACCACCTGCACCCCTGAAAGGATTCAGGGTCCTGAGCTCTTCGGCAGGGTAGATAGGTAGTCATAAGCAGGAATGAGGAAGTGCCCTGGGCTGTGAGTCTACTCTGAAATCATAAGTGGCCCACATCTTGGACCAATAATTAAAATAATGGCCTTATGTCTTCATAGAACCCACTCCCCATATCAAGGTCAGGTGTGTGTCTTGGGGACACAGTGACAATATAACCTTCCATTGATGGTGCTAACTGGGCAAAGAGGAGCAAATGAACAGGCACCCGCCCTCAGTCTCTCAAAAAATGCAGGTGTATGACTTCCCACACCCAAGCAGTCACTGTGCAGTCATCAAACCATTTGGGCAGGGCCACAATGGGGAGAGTCCCAATTTTGTGCCACCAAGTAACTCCATCCTATTGGACAATAAAACCCAGAGCCCCACCAGCTTCAGTGCAACATCTTGTGGTGTAATTCTGCTTTGCTAAAAAAACACTTACTGCTATTTTACTAAAAAAATAAATAAAAGCAAAAGGAATGGGGGTATGGTTCAAGGGACACCGTTATTTTCCTAGTATGTGTAAGGCCTCTGGTTCGATCCCAGTGTAACACATACCCACACACACATAAATAAATAAAATTATGGGGATGGAGCCTACTAGCTTTTGAGTCAAGAGCTCAGTCCAACAGGTCTCTTGTTCTACCACTGATTTGCCATCTGTTCTTTCCTGCTGACCAGTTTCTTTGATGGTGAAGCCAAGCAGCAAAAATAGCAGGTGAATAGTTTCGTTTCCTCTTGTTTCTCAGTTAACAAAACATCTTCCACCCAGGGACAGGGCCTGCTACTCTTTGTTCTTCCTTCTCCAACTGTGGCTTTCCATAAACTCAACCCTAGAGGATTCTTGACTTTCTCTGGTGCTGCAGGGCCCACTGGCACTCCCGTAGGCAAAACACTGAAGCTCTTGCCTATAGGCCTGTTACCACTTTCTATCTGTGGTGGGTGCTGGGTGCTGGTCTGTATACTCAGATTTCCTTTCTGGTGCATCCGCCTATTCTCAACTTCCAGGAACAGTTAAAGTGGCTCACAGCTGGGTCCTTCTCTAGGAAGTGCCTTGCACAGAAAGATAAGACCTGTGTCCTTCCCAAGGACACCAACTGACTAGTTGTTGTCCTTAAAGTCTTTGCTGTCTAGTCAGCCAGCCTATTACTAGTTGGTGTGGGGACAAAGACCTGATATTAGCTATCACAATAAATTAATAGGACCGGAAGTACAAAAAGTACGGCCCATGTACTGAAGTGGGCACATGCACCCAAGGAAGAATCAGAATCTTGACGCTTCAGAGAAGTCTGAGGGAGTCCCATGGAGTGGGTTTGTCAAAGTGAGGCCAAATGATGGTATCTTAACCCCTGCCACCACTGAGAAGGAGGTGCTCTGCTTGGCAGAGCTCTCAGTGCTGGGGCAGCACAGTGAACTTGTGAACTCATTGCTCCAATGTGTTTGTTAAGGCTGCTGGCGCTGAGTGGGTCCCAGAGCAGGAAAGGACCCTTTAGGAGGTGTGGGCTCTGGAACAGGTGGCCCTACCCAGACTCCAGCCTGGTGTGTTATCTATGACTGACAACATGCTAATGGAGCCTGACACATGTGTTACCAGGCAGATCCTTGAAGTGTCTGTGGTAGGGAATGACTGGGTAGAGTTCGCCCAGCCTTCGTCAATGCCAATGGGAGAATCACAGTCAGTCACTGGAGTTCTGGGTCCAGGCTGGGTTATCTGCAGCAGATCATACATCTTTTTTGAAAATAAACAAACAAACAAACAGCTCCTGTGTGTGTGTGTGTGTGTGTGTGTGTGTGGACCTGGCAGAGACAGAATCTTTGACCATGGAATACTAGCTGAACATCCTGCCCCACTGTGAAAAGTACCAGTACCAAAATGGAGTCATTTAGGTCAAAACCAAACTAAGTGGAGCTGGGAGGCCATGAAGGGAGGGTCTGCATGCATGATTTGCCTTATAACAGAATGATTACGAGATTCCACCAACCTACAACCTTGCACAAAGGCTAGCCTTACAAGGACCTCTGCTTGACAACTGCCTGTCCAATATTGGATGCCAAGGTTGTTATTGATCCTTGTAGCAAAGGATTATTGTTTCAGAACAACTTAGGCAACTTAACTCATTTTACCTTTAAGAACCGTTGTTTTCCTTTGTTTCTCTGGATATGTCTAACTCCCCCCTTCCCACCATGGCTCACTACGACATGTACCCTGGATTTGCAAATTCCCTGCTCATTCCCAAATAGAACCATTTTTCTTTAGTCTCTCTCTGTTCGTTATATAGATTGACATCACCTTGGGGCCTGTCAGACCCATCTGGTCCTACAATGGGAACAAAGGGTACAGGTCACTCACACATACAGGTGGCTTAGACTCCCATGCCACCTGTTACCTGTACTTGCTCTGTCCCTGTTCACACTGTAGGGAGATGGGTCCTCGTGATCAGCTGAGGGAGGGAAAAAGCCAAAGTTTCGACATGGTACACAAATGCAAACCAGAGATGTCCTGCTGCTGCAGTACAGCCCCAAGCAGGGAGAAAGCCTGCCTACAGGCTGAGCTTCCAACCATGGATCTGGCTAACCTCTCTGTGTGCAAAGAAAAGTGGCCCAAAATCAGATTTGTCAAGGAATCATGGGTGGAGCTTAACAGTGAGGCTGGTGATTGGGCCTACAGGAAGGAGGGCTAGAAGGTCAGACAGAAGGATGTCTGGGCAACAGGCACGTGGACAGAAATGTGTAGCTTGAAGTATACAGATTTGTGGAACACATTCCACCTCTCTCTGAGAATGTGTGCCATGGGAGAAAACAACCAAGCAGATAGGATGAAACGGCACCTGTATGTGACCCAACATGAACAGAGCAGCTGTGGTGTGCAACAGAGATCAGTGCTGACCCCTGATGTGGTGGCATCCCTAGAAAGGACCAACTGGCCACCTGGGAGCAAGTTGATGACATAGACTCCCTTGCACTTGGGACTGTGATGCATCCTAACTGGAGGTGAAACTTATTTCAGGAATGATTTGTCGTTTGTGTCCAGGAGGTGCTCGGTCAGCACCACTGAGGCCTTACAGAAAAAAATCACACGTTGAAGTTCTAACCCATAGTGCCTCTGAACGTGACCTAGTTTGCAAACAGGAACATTGCAGATGCAATCGCTTAAGGCAAGGTCAAATTGGAATGCAGTATGCCCCTAATCCAAGAGCACTGGTGTCTGTATAAACAGGGAAATGTGAACACAGATATGTATGGACAAAAGGCCATATGAGAGAAAGGGCAGAGGTCCCGGTGATGTGCCTATAACCCAAGGAATGCCAACAATTGTCAGCAAATCAGCAGCCACCAAGGGAGTGACCTGGAACACAGTCTCCCTCATGGCCTCAGAAGGAACCACCTGCTGACGCCTTGATCTCTGGGCTGCATAACTGAGAGACAACATCGGTTAAGGCACCCAGTTGATGACACTTCTTTTTTTTTTAAACAAAAGTTCTAGCAAACCAATACAGACCCCATATAACATCCTGTCACAGCAAGGGACTCACTGATGGCAGAGGGGGGCCACGAGTGGGCGTGTGCCCATGGGATGCACTGATCCTAACATACGCTGTACCACCCAGCTGATGCCAGCCAGGAAGATCAACAGACCAGCCTGTTGAAAGTGAGATGCCACCTTAGAGATGGCACCTGTGAAGACACAGCCACCCCATGCCCCCAGCACCTGGCAGGTACCCAGAACCAACGGCCATCACATGATACTGTGTCACCAGCAGGTAGAGCACATAGGTTCAGGAATCAAGGGGCAGATATGAGAGTGGCCCTGGTCACCCAGTTGGGGAACTGGTACTCCCTGCCGCAGCAATTTTGGATTCTCTGAGTCTACAGCAGGGGTCAACAAACTGTGGACCAGCAGCCAAATCTGGTCTGCTGTTTGTGGTCCATGGGTTAAGAATGATTTTGGAATTTTTGATGGTTAAATTGAAATAGTTATATAAGTACCTATGTAATTTTGTTTTTACTTCTTGGTCTCTAAAGCCTAAAATATCTTCTATCTGACCCCTGGTACTTCACCTAGGTAAGGTTCCCTTCCTGGGGCTTGCCCACATCTAACACGTGGTCAGTGAGGGTATTCATGGGTCCAGCCTTCTTGCCTCAGCTTAGGACATCTGTAAAGGGCTATCCCAACTTGAGAGCGCCCTGGGATTGGGTGAGTCCTCTGCTATGGCTGTAGGACAGCTTAACTTTTCTCTCTCTGCCCCTTCCTGCCACCTTCATTCCCTTAGGTGCATTATTTCCAAAGGAAATCCCCAGTAAGTCTTAGGAATACAAATCCCTGTCTGAGAATGTTTCCTGGGAAATGAGACCAAAGATAGGTCCTTTCTGCATCTGGCCTATGTTCATCTTCAAGTATCAGTGTATGGTCATCCCTTAGTATCCATGGAGATTCGTTCCAGGACCTCAAATGGATATCAAAATCCACAGATACCTTATATAAACCTGACACGCTATTTGCATATAACCCATGCACATTCTGCTATATGCTTCAAACCATCTTTAGTTTACCTACACCACCCAATCCAATGTAAATGCTATTTTACTGTATTGTGTAAGGAATAGTGATAAGAAAAAAGGTCTGTACAAGTTTAGCACACATACAATTTTTAAAAATATATTTGATCTGTGTTTGTTTGAATCCACAGAGGTAGAACACCTGAGATAGTGGGCTGATTCTATGTCCAGATGTATTTCTTAGGGTCTCTTCCATCTTACAGGCTTCAGTATTTTCTCCTCTTTCTAAACTATTTGAAAGTAGGCTCTCTAAAGTCTAGGATACATATCCCACAATTTCAGCCACTCTCAGATATAAACTGAAAATGCACCTCTCCCTCCTCCCACTCTTTCCCTCTGGCTCTTCACTGGCACTACGCCTAGAGTTTTTTTTTTTTTTCTTATCTTCTCTACCCTGAGTTCCGCTCTTTCTTCTCCTGCCTAGAACCATCACCTTTGCTCCCAAAAGACTTGGGGCTTTGGACAGGGAAGGCCAGTGAAGGAAGGAGCAGTCCAGGTCCAAGGAAGACCTCAGGAACAAACTTTTGCCTCTTTTCTTAGGTGTCACCTCAGCCTTCCCTGAAATGGGCACACTGGAATGGGCCTGCACACAAGACATATATTATTCTCCCAGAACACCTTGCTATCTGGATTTGGGTGGCCCTGACTTTCGAGGAAAGTTCTAGGGGTTTTCTGATCACATCTTGTTACATCCCACCTACCTCTTTCAGGTGCTGTGGAAGAGAGTTTCCACGGGGAAAGGTGTATTTGGCTTTCTTGTAAATGTACCACAGCAAGGCAAAGCAGCCAAGAAGCACCAGGAAGACCATGAAGACTGAGGCGATGAGGATGACAGCCACCATCCAAGAGGGGGTTGTTTCTGCAAGGGATAACAGGGTGGGTTAGATGCCTATCATGTGCAGGTTGGATCACAGAGATCTTACAGCCATTTCACTGTCACAATTCAATGGCAATCCCTGAAAACAGGGTCTATATGTTCATCCAGGACACCGTCCCAGGAACACAGCAGCTGGCTGGAGGATCCAGAGAGTTTCAGAGAGTTCCACTCCTGTCCTATCTTCTTCAGAGTTTGGTTTCTGGAACTATTGTCGGCATATGTAAAAAGAATAACAAGCAAGAATTCTTATCCACATTACCTACTGGTAGGGTGGCACTGAGACTGATCAGACACTTCTACCCTGAAGCAGCAAATAGCCAGAGAGAAGGATAGGCCCAGGGCCTGGATGACTCTAAGCAAATCTGTAGGCTAAGTGACTTGACCAAACTCCAGCTGGCTTCCAGCAACCTGAGGTGGTACCCTGGGATGGCCCAGACTCCCTGAGTTTCTGACTGGAACCCTCGAGGCTAGCTAGCGTGCCATGTGCTCTTCTCAACAAGTCTCTTTTTGAGAGTTTTTTCTATAAAAGGTGTCCAACTATAACTTTTTCCTCTGTCCCTTTGAGCTGTACTTGTGTCTCCTACAACCCAGGAGTGTCTTCCTCAAGGACCCAATCACCATTCCTTTGAAACCATCATGAAGGATGGTCTCCATGGGAGAAGCCCGACTTTGATCAATGCTAGTTGGCTCAGTGGCAATGCCATTTACTTGAATTTTGTCATTCTTTTCCCTTCCCTAACTCTGCTTGCTTCTTTACCCACTCCCTCATTTTTCCTTTAAGACTTAGTCTCTTCTGTGTAAGTGGAACTCTGCTCCTTCTCCTACAGAAGTCCTTATGGAATAAAATCTGTTTTTACAGATTTATCTGACAGTGTTGAGGAGGTGACCCTGGTCACTGGTGGTCCCAACTCCCCTTATTCAGCACCAGTCCCCTTCTCCAGCTGCTTGGCCACCTGCCCTCCCTATGTCCTATGACCTCCCTATGTTCAGTACCGTCCTCACAAGTGAGGCTCTATGAATTTGGTGCCAAGAGAACAAACCCTGTCTGTTAAGAGCAAGTCATTTGACAGGGACTGTTTGTGGGAAAAATACCAGCTGTCACTTAGACACAGCAGATCAAGAACCCTGACTGAATGACTTGCTCTTAACAACAGTGGTGCGGCGGTTTGAACTCAGGGCTTCATGCTTGCTAGGCAGGTGTTCTACCTCTTGAGCCACCCTGTAGCCCTTTTTTTGTATTGTTATTTTTGAGTTAGGGGCTCTCTAGGCCTGGCCAGTCTAGTCTGTGATCCTCCTATTTCCATGTCCCCAAGTGGCTGGGATGACAGGCACGTACCAGCTGGCCCAGCCTTTTGTGAAGATGTCGGGGAGGGGTCTCAAAAACTTTTTGCCTGGGCTGGCTTTGAACCATGAGCCTCCTGAGTATTTAGGATTACAGGCGTGAGCCACCATGCCTGGCTGGGGATTAAAATTTGTTTTTGAAATTTTCTATGATTTTTGGGTCAAAACTACATGTAATAAATCTGTGAATAAAGTGGGCTTATTTTTTTTTTAAACTCTTTAAAGTAGTGTTGGACAAAAGCAGGTTTTCTTTTTTTTTTTCTTTTATTATTCATATGTGCATACAAGGCTTGGGTCATTTCTCCCCCATGCCCCCACCCCCTCCCTTACCACCCACTCCACCCCCTCCCTCTCCCCCCCACCCCCTCAATACCCAGCAGAAACTATTTTGCCCTTATCTCTAATTTTGTTGTAGAGAGAGTATAAGCAATAATAGGAAGGAACAAGGGTTTTTGCTAGTTGAGATAAGGATAGCTATACAGGGAGTTGACTCACATTAATTTCCTGTGCGTGTGTGTTACCTTCTAGGTTAATTCCATCCATTCACCAGCGAATGATAACATTTCGTTCTTCTTCATGGCTGCATAAAATTCCATTGTGTATAGATACCACATTTTCTTAGTCTATTCGTCAGTAGTGGGGCATCTTGGCTGTTTCCATAACTTGGCTATTGTGAATAGTGCCGCAATAAACATGGGTGTGCAGGTGCCTCTGGAGTAACCTGTGTCACAGTCTTTTGGGTATATCCCCAAGAGTGGTATTAAAAGCAGGTTTTCAATGAGTTACATTTCTGTTTTATAAAATGTTTGGATTTTGTCAGTTAATGGGCAGCCACTTATATTCACAAGTTATTTGAAATATTTTTCTTTTTTGATCAAATTGTTCACCTGCTGCCACATTTCATGACATGAGTGGACCTGCAAGTGTCCTTCCTTCCATGATCTGAACTTGCTGACTCTTCACATCACCTTGGTGTAATAAAAAGGTCTACTGATGGTTTGCAGACTCAAACCACATTCTTCACACTGAGCGCGTGGCTGCAATGCATCTGCTCGTAAACAACAAGTGGTCAGGCCAACTGGCACCCTCTTTGCTCTTCTTCCCCTTCTCTTCCTCCGTCTGTCTGTTCTGCTTTTCTCCTTTGTGGTGCTGGGCTGGTATGAGGGCCTCGAGCATACTAGGCAAGCATTCCATCAGTGAGCTATACCCCCAGACCCTGCTCTTTTCAGAAACAAATATGGGGGCACTCTGCTAGACACCACAGTGCCTGTTGCACAGGAAAGACTGTGGCCAGGTCCTGGTTCCATATTTTCCATGGGTCCCTGATGCAAGTGGCACCAGCTGAGGAAAGCAACAAGGTTTCCAAGCTCTCTCTGTCATCATACGGCTGTAAGACTAGAGATGTGTACCAGGAAGGAAAGTCTTCTGGGGTGAAGAGGGGGGTGACAGGGCTCAAGCTTTGCTGGGTGGAATTGGGAGGACCTATGATCCTTGCTTCAGGAAGCTGAGAGGACAGTACAAGCAGAGCAGAAGTGGACTTACAGAGGCTGACCTCAGCTACCAGATGGACGATGTCCCTTTCCGTCCCTTTGGTCTCAGAGTAAAGAAGTTGCCTCAGAAGGGGGCTGACTGATGACCAATCCGGGCTGGGAGATCATGGTGGGGGTGAGGGGCGGATTTGTGAACTGGGTTGGAGTTTGAGCTGCCTGCGTGGACATACACTGCTGGTGGGTGGGGTCTTCACAGCTACCTGCCCTGCTCAGAGGCTGGGCCTCTCATGACTCACCGTCATCCATGGTCCGCTCACAGACAGGCTCACTCCATTCCCCAGTCTTGTTCCGATCAAGAAGAAACCCTTGAACTTGAACACAGTACGTCGTCCATGGCTCCAGGCTTCTGAGGACCTCAAAGTCATACTGTGGAGTAACTCGAAACTAGTAATGAGACGAATATAAGAACATGGGCACTTCTGAACATCAACTTTTTTTCTTTTCTCCCTCCACACTTCCCAGTTGTAATCCCTGCTTCAGATTGAAAATAGGAAGGGTGGGTGGCAGACTCTCCTCCCAGGTCATTTCAGGGAACCCTGACACTATGCCACAAGACTGACTGCGATGCTGACAGACCATCTCATTGTCTGAATTCTGTAGCTTAACTGACATGGAAACATCACACTGGCCTTTCATTTTTATTTTTTGGTGGGAGTGGGGTTTGAACTCAGGGCTTTACACTTTGCAATGCAGGTGCTCTACTGTTTGAGGCACAATTCCAGTCCATTTTGCTCTGGCTATTTTGGAGATGGGGTCTTGAGAACTATTTGCTCAGGCTGGCCTCAAACCATGATCCTCTCAATCTCAGCCTTCCAAGTAGCTAGGTCAACAGATATGAGTCACCAGTGCCCTGCTTCACACTGGCCTTAAGAGATAAACCACTTTTGATGCGTTGAACTGAGTTCCATAAGAATTCCTAGGTTGTAGTGCTAACCCCAGGTATGAACATGACCTTATTTGGAGGTAGGTTCTTTCCAGAGTTAAAATGAGGTTATGAGAGTGGGCCCCTAATCCAAATGACTGAGATCCTTATAAAGAAGAGAAATTTGGGCAACACAGATGGGCATGCAGGAGGTCGCATGTGAACATGAAGGCAGATTTGGAAGTCATGTTTTTACAAGCCAAAGAATGCCAAGGATTTTAAGCGAGCCAGCAGGAGGTAGAGGAGAGGCATGGAGTGAAGGCCTAGCACGTTCAAGAGCATAGCCCTGCTAACACCTTGATCTTGGACCGTCAGCTCTGGAAGTGTGAGACGATAAATTTCTGCTGTTAAAGCACCTAGCCAACTAACAATGGCCTGATACAGTAAAACTCAACGGGACCTTTTTTCTAAGTTAAGAGCATGAACCCTGGCTGCCTGGGGCTCTCCAGGCTGGCACCGGGGTTGCCCCCCAGCCCCCAGGCTCTTGCTCTCTCAAGGGCACACACCACGTCTGCCTCTGCTCTGGTGGCTAGAGTCCCCAGTTCACTGTAGTCAAATGCGAATGTAAGATAGCACAGGCAATGATATATTTCTGAATTTGAGAAACTGAAATAGTTCCCTGCAAAATAAAAGGGAAACAACAACAAAAGGTACAAAGTAAGTGCAGACTCTTTTTACTTTTGTAACTGGTTATTTTTCTTTTGGAGTTGGGGTTGTTGACAGCTTGTCCGTATTCCTTTGTATGAGAAATTAATCTCCTTTTAGGCAAAAATTGGGTTGTACCTATTGAATCCATGAAGAGAATGGTCTAACTTTTAATAAGTAAATTAAACAACAAATGAAAAACCTAAACCAACCAACCAAACAAAAAATTCAGGCTTTGATTTCTAGAAGGTCAATACTCTAAAACCTTACAATGGAATTCTTTTCAAAGACTGAGCTCAGAGGCTGAACTCTTAAGCAGCAGGCAGGCAAGTTCCCCCTTGGGGCTTTGCACAACCTGATGAAGATAAAGAGAAAATGGTTTGCTTGGTGTAGGAGGCACTCAGCCATGGTGACCATGGAGCTGGATCCTTCATTAGAGGATGCTAAACCCTGGAGGGGAGCAACTAGGTCTTCTCTTTAGGACCCAGGGCTTAGCAGAGACACCTGCTTTTGATGAGTGATTATGAAACTAGAAATGCTGTATTGCTTTTCAGGTACACATTTCCTGAGGTTTTAATGACAAGCAAAATTGACTCGTGTGAAGAAGGCTGACTTTCTGGAGGTCATGGATGGAATGGAGGCGTCCTCCACTCCTTGCTGAATTCCTTTGCTGAAATTTAATCACCAATGTGATGAAATAGTATGAAGAGGCGGGGTCTTGAGGAGGTCATGAGTGGGAGCCCTCATGGATGGGACTAGTGATCTTATAGATAAGGTGTGGGGGAGCTGCTCACCCCTTTTGCCCTTCACCTACGTCTGCCTAAGGATCCAGTCACAAGGCATCGTCTTGGAAGCAGAGAGAGCCAGCCTGCGTCAGACACTGGATTTTCTAGTGCCTTGATTTTGGACTTCCCAGCTCCCAGAACTGCGAGAAACACATTTCTATTATCTATAGACTACCCAGCCTGTAGAATTTTGTTATAGCAGCAGGAACAGACTGAGACACTGCGTTCTTCAATGGAAGATTTCTTTTAAGGGAAAAATTAACTTGAGGTTTTTTTTTTTTTTTGGCTATGCAGTACATACTTTGGGGATGGTTCTACTGTCATTGTGCAGACATCACCTGACTGTCTGCTCCATCTGTTTCTCTCAGGGGCCTGAGAAGCTTGAGCCCAAGAGACCAGTGATCCCTCAGCCTGGGAAGCCCCTGGCTTTCAGAGGACCAGGCTGCAGACCCTCTGGACCACAGGTGCTGCCCCACTGCAAGACTCTGCCTGGATGGGTGCCTGGCCTTATTTTCATCATGGTGTATCAAAACTGAGCAGAGAACACAGACGCCCACACCTGAGATTCTTACGATTAGTCAAGCTTACCTTTTCATCTGTTCCGTTTTTCCAATATTGCACATTATAAGCCAAAGAGTTATAAAAGTTCTTCATGGTCCATGTTTCGGGTTCATTCTCAATTTGGGGGGCTAAGAGACGCATGTGTAAAGAATCAGCAATCACTTCAATTTGCATTCCAGGAGGTCCAATAATGGCTAAATACAAGAACAAAGCAAAATGATAACCAAAAACCACATTTTAAAAATTTTACTTGAACCCTATTTCTTGGTACAATTAGTGTTCTGAAGTTCACTGCTCTTTGACAACATCATTGCTGTGACACTGACTGATGTGGCTAAGTAGAAAAGATGGATTTTGTCTCTTTTTAACAATCTGCTAACCTTTGCCGTTATTAGCCAAGTTTAGTCCACTTATATTTATTGTACTTTATAATCTATTTAGAATTACTGCAACTAGATTATTTTATGTTGGTTCGTAAAGATTGCTTCTTTTTGAGACCAGGTCTTACTGTATAGCTCAGGCTAGCCTCAAATTCACAATCTTCCTGCTTCCTCCACCCAAGTGCTGGGATTACAGATGTGCACCACCATCCTTGGCATAGAGACTGCTTTAAAAATTTTCATTCTATTAGCTCCTTCTCCTCCTTTTTTTTCTCTCTGCTTTCTGTTGGCTTGAATTTTCTTTCCTTTTGGAGGGAAAGCTACAGATGGTATTTCTATTATTTTCAGTTGTTACCCTTCAATGTTTAACGTATATAACTAACCGTGTACCTTTTTCCAACTTACCTTGTACTAGATATCCTTGTGACTGACCCTTCACGTCATTTGACTAGTCAAATGCTACTTTCTCAGAGAGTCTGTATCTTATCACCCTACAAAAAAGAGTGGCTCTCCTCTCTTCCTGTTCTGTTGTCCCACTTTAGTTTTCTTGACAGCCACAGTCAGTACGTGTGGTACATTATGTATCTGTGTGTTTGCCATTCATCTTCCCATTAGAATATGGACTCCTTGAGAGAAGAGGTTTTCTCTTGTGCTGCTGTAGCTTTAACACTAAGAATGTGCCAGGTGGGGCTGGAGGTGTGGTTCAAGTGGTAGAGTACCTGTCTAACAAGTGTGAAGCCCTGAGTTCAAATTCCAGTACCACAAAAAAGAGAATGTGCCTGGCACACAGTAGACCCTCAACTATAATTAAAGAAGGAGTAATAAACGCCCTGGAAAACCACTGTTTGAGTCATGACCTGATCTTTCTCTGGTCTGTTATTTTGGTAGGCTGCTAATGAGCCTGCTTCCACCATTCTAATCTGCTGGTGTGAAAACAAGTCAAGAAAACTCGTTAGGTATTTTTTCAAATAGTGCAAATAGGTTCCATATAATGTCAGGAAGCACTTTCCAATCACTAAAATAGATGAACTTTGAGAGGTGAGTATCCAATGTGGGGAAGGAGTTGCCAAGATCATGGATCCTTGTTCTACCAGTACCTGTTTGACAATGATTTATTTTTGCGGTGCTGGGATTTGAACTCAGGGCTTTGTACTTGCTAGGCAAGAGCTCTACTGCTTGAGCCTTACCTGTATCCCTTTTTGCTTTGTTTATTTTGGAGACAGGGTCTCACTTTGTGCCTACACTAGCCTGGACCACAATCCTTGTATTTTATGCTTCCCCCTGTAGTGGTGTGACAGGCGTGCATTACCATACCTAGCTTTTTTCCATTGAGATGGGATCTCGCTAAGTTACCCCTCCCACCCTGATCTGGCCTGGAACAGCGATCCCCCCACTCTCAGCCACCCCTGTAGCTCCATAGCTGGGATGACAGGTGTGAGCCACAGGCACCTGGCTGCTTAATGTTTCTGAAGGAAACTTCCCTAGGTGGGATGTAAGATGGGCTTTGCAAGCAGCCAAGACCAGTTGGCAGCTACCGGAGCAGAAATCCGTTCAGATGATCCCAACTTAGGATGGCTGGACCTGATGGTTCAGCTCACGATTTTTGACCGGATGGTGGTATGAAAGGGGGCCATTTCAAAAGAAACCGTACTTTGAATTGTGATCTTTTCTCAGGCTTTCAATACATGGCCTGACCCTGTCTTACACTGCTGGATGGTGGTGGTGAGCCACAGTTCCCCGTGTCACAGGATCACGAGGGGAAGTTACTGGTTCTCTACAGTGTGCCGAGCTGCTGAGCTAGGAGTCTGGTAGCTTAGTTGCATTAAGTGCATTTTTGATTTGTGATATTTTCGACTTAGGATGGGAATGTAACCTCATCATAAGTTAAGGAAATCTGTAATGTTTTGGAAGCTTCACTTGTTAAACTATATTACTATTTCTTTATTTTTTGGTGGTAGAGGGGATTGAATTGAGGGCCTTAAGCTTGCTAGGCAGGTGCTCTGCCACCTAAACTTCTCTCCTCTTCCCCCTCCCCCAAGCTCTTTTGCTGTTAGTTTGCTTTTCAGATAGGGTCTTGTGCTTTTGCCTGCATAGGCCATCCTCCAACTGGGATCTTCTTACCTCTGCCTCCAATATAGCTGGGATTACAGATGTGCATCACCAGATCTGGCTTGTTTTTGAGATATGGTCTCTCCAACTTTTGCCTGTGCTGACCTCGAACCATAATTCTATCTCCACCTCCTGAGTAGCTGGGATTATAAACTGTATTTTGTATGTTCATTTTTCTTTGTTTTATAAAGGGAGCTTTAGAAAAGACAATATAACTTTGACAATTTCTGCTTCCAGAAGTAGGGTTTTTGCCCACACTAGGACAGAACTGGGAAAGGGAAGATGGGATCCTTGTCCCATTCTCTCCCAGGGAGGATGCAATTGTGAGGGCTGTGAGGGCCCAGAGCAAGGGACAGATATGAAAATCCTTTCACACAGAGACAATTCTTTCAGTGCGTCTCTCTGACTACTCCTTGGAGGGCTGCCAATGAATTTTATTACTGAGGTCCTTGCACTCTTCATCACTTGCTAGATGGTGGCTAACTGGGTTAGTTTAGATCTGGCCCGAAGCATTCTTTCCAGTGTTTTCTAGCTGGCCTGATGGAATCCATCTGCCTACACAGCTCATGCCCCTCTTCCACCCTTCTGTCCTGCACCTGCCTTTTGTGTCACATTTCTTTGTTTAATTCATAATTCCAAATGGGCTTCTTCTCAGGAAATTGTCACTAGTTCTTCTTATTAATAGCACTCGGCCCAACTCATGTATACCCTGAGGCAGTGAAGTTACTGAATTCATATGTAAGGATTTCACTGATGATATATGTATCCTGTCTTGTCTTACCATAAATCTCTTTCCCCTTTTTTTTTGGCAGTACTGAGTTTTGAACTCAGGACCTTATGCTTACTAGTCGGGTACTCTACCACTTGAGCCATGCTTCCAGGCCTCACCCATGAATTTCTTTAAAGCCACAGCCTCTTTGTTCTATTCTCTCAGCTCCTTGGACAAGACCATCCACTTTGTGGACACTCAAAGAATTCCTGTTGATGGACTAACCAATGTAGAAAAAAAAGCAAGGCAAGATGATGACACATGACAAAATGCAAAAACAAAAGGGCTTACTGTCATCCACAGGGCAGAAGGTGATGTTCACCCAGTCAGAATGTTCATTTGCAAATTCAGCTCTGACTCTCAAGGTGTGGTCGCCATACTTGGAAAGACTTGAGAAGTCACATTCTGTCCAGGCAGTATTCTTGCACACATTTTGGAATCCCCTGTAACTAAGCAATCAGAAAGACAAGATCACAAGAGTTCTAACCTCCATCTCAGGCTCACTGGTGCTTTTTTCTCCCTGCTACCAAAGACAAATGGAGGACAATGAGAGGAAAATGAAGCCTGCAGCCCAAGCTGACCTCAAGCTTGTGATTCTCCCTTCTCAGCCTCACTATTGCTGTGGTTACAGGCATGTACAATGTCTAGCAAATTCTTAATCATTAATTTGATGAATAATATGCACAAATTATATTAGTATTTTCCAAAATGTGCTCCCTGAAACCTTAGGAACATCATAAGGCATTTCAAAATCCATTCAATGGTCAAATAATTTAGGGGAAAATTGGCTTAAAGATAAAAATAAGTGTCTTCATAACATAGCTTCTTAGAGACTTTGCCTAACAAACACATACCTCTCCAGAAAGCAGCTGAGTACTCAACACGCTTGACCAGGAAAGCCTCCTTCCCTGATCATCTATTTCTTCCTTAATTAGTATATTTTAATCGCATAAGGGGTTGCACTGTGCTATTTCCATGATGCGTTTCTTGTACTTTGATCAAATTCACCCCGCTTGATCATGTATTTCTGAAAGCAGTGTGACATGATTTGTGATAGTGATTTACAGAGATGAAATTAGGATGACTTCAAATAATGCCCTAAAGATGATGAGCATTGCAATTATTCTGGAAAAATTACAAAACAACTTATTTCAGTCAAAACGCTAGCCCCAACAGCAAACATTACAGGGAGAAATACTCCCGTAGCTTAGCACCCACCATCCTGTGGGGGTGTAATGAGCTCTGTCTGACCTAAGGACGCATAGGCTGCCTTCTCGTGAGAGGTGGTCTGACTGGTTCCCCACGGCCCCTTCCTGTCAGGTGCCAAAGCAAGTTTGGCTGCCCTCAGAAGTTATGAAGATGGTGATGGTGCTAAAAAAAAATAATAATGACAACATTAATGTAACTCAGGGGTCAGGTGTGGTGAGCCTAGGAAAGTTGCCCAGTTATACTCAGTTCTGCTTGACCTCAGAGTTTTAGGGACCTCCATTGTACCTCACTGCATGCTTAGTGATGTCCAGAGCTTTTGCAAAACGGAAGGGGGACCAATTGAGATCACAGAATTTAACAATTTGCTTTTTTCACTTAATATGCTACAGACATTTTGCCAATCAACTCTTCATGGCTGAGTTACATTCTAGTATCTGGAAAATCCAGGGGTCATTCGGTTAAGGGAGTTTTCTCACGTGGTCACTCCCTCCGTCTAAACTAATGCATCGGTCGGCCGACACACACTATTTCAAAAGTTGTTTTGCAATAACTTCTCTTTCACTTCTATTTTTCATTTGCAGCTAACTTTTTCCCGTTAGAGCAATAATATGACCACTCCGTTTGTATTCACATCTAATTTTGGATGCTTCTATATTAAAATCACCAATACTCCCTGTGAAGTGCCCTGTTCTGGCCACCCCGACCCCAAAGCACACAAATAACAGAGCTATGCTACGCGTCTGCTCCCACTGAATTCAAAGCAAAGCTTTGACTCCATACCGGAGTCACCAGATCTTTCGGGATCATTCTTTTCCCCAGGGACATGCCCTCTATTTTCCTCAGCACGGGCCATGCTCAGTCTGTTGTTCCATGCAGAGAAACCTGGCTCCCAGGCACTGACTCTTGGTTAAAAATCACCTCTGCCTTATACCTTCATACAGTCAGTCACTCAGACCTCTTGTCTACAAGGTGGGCACCAAAACCAAGCACCTCTACTGTGATGGCAAGAAAGTGAGGCATAGAGCAAAAGAAAAACTACAGGAGAAAGAGGGGTGCTATGGTTTTTCCTTCTAAAACTCAAGTTGAAATTTAACCCCCATTGTGAGGTTTTAAGAGGGCAGAAGAGGAGGGGCCTTCAGGAAATGATTGAGTTTAGATGAATTCATCACCACGACTGAATACTGGCGGCTTTATAAGAAGAGGGGCCAGCATATACACAAGGGCTTCCTGTCACTCACTATGTGATATGCAGTGCTGTGCTGCCTCTGGACTCTGCCAGCAAGAAGGCCATCACCAGATTCAGCCCCTTGGCTTGGACCTCCACAAAATAAACCTTTTTCTTTTATAAAGGACTTAGCCTGAGGTATTTCGTTATAGTAACAAAAAAACTGATATGTTACAAGAGGGAAGTTAATTTTCCACACTGGCTTTCCAGACTGAGTGGAGAAAACACAAAGACAGAACAATAAAACCAATCAGTACCAGAAGCGTCCCTCAGGAAAATAAGTTACAGAATGATGCTTCTTTAATCACTGAACTCTGGACTATAGACTGGATGAAAATACTTGAACAATGTTGAAGTGTCTGGACTTGAGAACCATACGGTGTGATGGTCATCCTGGTTCTTATGAAATACACGCTGAAATGGGAGGGGCCAGAGGGCATGATTTATGAGAGAGAAAAACAGAGGAGGGAGAAGGAAGACGTGGCAAATATTAAAGTTGGTTAACCTGGACGTATGCCAACCAGAAGTTCTTAATACTATACTCGAAATTTTGAAACATTCTGTTAGTGTGGAATTTTATTTCAAACTAGAAAAAATTTAAAAACCCAACATGTAGACAAAGATTATTGTTTATTTCTACGTCTTCTTGGACTTTAAGGTGTGGGGTATGTTTGTAAAATGACAGTTGGACAGGAGGGTGCAATTAGTGCCATCTGGAAGGGACTTTGCCCTGTCAGTCTCTCTGTCTCTCTCTCTCTGTGTCTCTGGCAGTACTGGGGCTTGAACTCAGGACCTCACAGTTACTAGGCAGGTACTCTACCACTTGAGTCATGCCCACATCTCTGTCTTCCTGTTTCTGGGTCACATGAGAATCAGGATTGTCAGTCAGCTCATCAGCCTTGGGCCTCCTGCGGCTGTTGACACCTGGCGTGCAGGTGTGTCACCTGTAGTCTAGCCTATGGTGAATGGTGGCAGGACGCCAAGGGAGGGCTGGCGTGGACTTCCTTTATCTGGTACAGGGAAACGCAGGACAAGTGGAGGGCATTCAGGCCATTGCTGAGTAATAGTCTAGGGGTGACAGCCATCCTTCCTTCAGAGCATCTGTTGTCACACAATAGAGCTATTGACAGCTAGGAGCTGTCTTACTTTCAGTTTCAGAGGGAGCTGTGACTGAGTACCCACTGTGTAAATTACCTACAACCCTGGGCACTGGGGTGGGCTGCTGGAAGGGGTATGTACAGCAGGGGTCTTTCTGACTGCTCTGCCTACCCCAGTTTCTTGTAACTGCTGACTTTTAGCAATACAAGTCTAATAACCAGAGATGATGGCGGTATCATTTTTCTCTTAAAATACATCCCCTGTGACAAACGTGCTAGGAACTGCATAGCACTAAGCTACCATTGATACGCATGAAAAATATGTCTATAACTACCACAGCTCTGCAATAAGTCATCAAACCAAGAACCAACACAAGAAATCACACAAAGGAAAGGTGGGCCACAAGAATTTTCATAGAAAGAAAAAGGCCAGCAGGATGGCTCCTCTGGGCTGTCATGATCATACAAGTGACAGGAGTCAGATTCCGTCCCTCCTGTGGCTCTGCCCAGTGAGCAGCCCAGAGTCACCATCCTCTATCACCTTTCTGCCAAGAGCAACCAGACCTACCTTAGGTACTGAGCTGTGAAAGTCAGATTCCCTCTGGCAAAAGCAGGTGACTCCCATCGTAGAATGTTCTTGAAATTAACAGAGTTCATTCTGACATCCTTAGGAGGTGGCACCATTCCTAATGCTGTAAAAATAAAGGGAAAAATTTTGCGACGTTTTTCCCCAAAAAAGGTTGCCCAAGAAAATTCGGTTTCCAACATTTGAGTCTTCCTTACAGCTCTGTGTCTTCAAATGCCACATGGGTGAGCAAGAGAGCGAGACAGTTGTGTGAGGAGGCTAGACTTTATCCGAAGCATTTCAGGGTAGCAGGAAGCTAAGAAGCAAGAGTCAGGTGGGGTCAGATAATGGTGATCTGGGTTGAGATGGTAGTAGGAAGGTGGGAGGGGTATAGCAGGGCAGGTAGATTTCAGATATATTTTCCATATATCCTAGACTTCCTGACATATTTGATACGTAGAAGTCAAGGTTAATGTCCATTTTTGCCTTAAGCACCTGGTGCTTAAGGAGCTGGAGCAGAGAACCCAAGAATCCCATTTCAGTTGCACTAGATTAGGGATGCTGGAAAGATATTCAAGTAGGTCGTCAGGGAGATAGGTGGATGAATGAGCCTGAAGGTCACAAGAGGGCTGACTTGGCCTAGAGACAGAAATATTTTTAAGCTGTGAACAGAAAATTCCAAACATACACAAAAGCAGAACGATCATAACAAACCACCACCTATCACCCAGTTGGTGCCAACAGAGATAGAAATGTGAGCGCCACGGACCTATTTAATGTCAAACTTCTGCTGATAACCCCCCCACCCCCACCCTCAAAGGCCGGTGTAAGGGGACGACTGAAGGCTCAGTGAGGAGCTCAGCTGCTGAGATACCAGGTCGAGGAAGAAGCCAATTCGTAGCAGCCTGGGAGGTAGGGGAGACCTGAGAGTGGGGCATTTCAAGGCCAGTGCAGAGTTCACCCCAAAGGAAGGAAGGGGATCAGGTGCTGTTTGAATCCGGGCATTCACTAGAGAGGGGAGAGAAGGCGGCACTGGATTTAGGACCTATAAGCCATGGAACTGGGGAGCCGAGGGACAGAATTCACTTTTCAGGATGCTTAAGTCTGAGAGGAAGGTGTGGGGAAGTAGAGACAGAGATGCACACACTTCTGGGAGATGTAGTGTTGGGGTCAGAAGGGAGCGGAGCGGCAGGTGGGGAGGACTAGAGGTGGGGCGGTGGGGGGCTATTGAGCACGCTAGGTATGTTGGGGTCCTCCTCCAAGTGGACTCCGGAGGGTCTGAGCCAGCTACATGGGCTGCTCCGGTCTTTAGTTAGAACCAGCCACAAGGACGCGAGAACCCGCCCCTCCCCCCCGGCGTCGGGTTTACAGTCTAGACGATCTGTAATCCGGGAGCAGGGTGGGGGTCCTCCTCGCGGAGGGTCGATGGCAGGGGCAGCAGCAATGCCACGTCTTAGAGCCGATCGTGGCGCCGGAATCTCCTGCCCCGGGGACCTGGCGGCCCGAAAGGACAGACAGTTTTGGGGCGCTCATAGGGTGAGATCAGCGGATGCCACCTGCGGAGATCACCGCCCCGCGTGTGTAGCAAAGCGCGTCCCACCCGGCCTCGGGGTCCGGGAGCGCGGGTCCCCGCGGCGGGGCACGGGGGGACAGCGCGGCGCGCACCGCAGCTCGCGTCCCGGGGCCCGCCCGACCTCCATCCCGCAGACCTCACCTGACACCAGCAGACAGCCGATCAGCCAGCACGCGGGGCTCCGCGCCATGGCTGCACAGGGGGCCCGCGGGGGCGCAGCGGGAGCCCGGCCCGCGCCGGGGAGCAGCAGCAGCCAGCGCCCGCTTCCGGAAGCCTGCGGGGCGGGGCCGCCAGCCCCTCCCCCCCGCGGCCCCGCCCCACTCGGGGCCCCGCCCCCGCCGCCCGGGCGCGTCCCCGCCCCGTCCGAGGGGAGATCTCGAGCTAAACCAATGCACTCAATCGCCAAGCCAGGGGTCATGCGTGGATGGTGGAATTAGGGGTGGTACTTTTTTTTGTGTGATTCGGTTATGCCCCAGGTTTTCCCACGGAAGCTGCACGTCCTCTATAATGCGCTTCCCCCCACCCCCAAATAGGTAGGCGAGTTAACTCCTGTCCCCCGTTGGCAAACCCAGCTTCAGAGGGTCTTCAGTGATACAAAACCAAGTCATTCGTTACTAAGTTTCTTTCCCAAGACTGCTGCGAAAGCCTTAATTTCCTCTTCCTAAATTTGTGCTGTGGTCAGGTTGGAAATCCCGGGGAGGCGGCCGTTGGGAAATGACTAGCGATGTCTGACGTCTGCGCGGAAAGGTTCCTCCACGTGCACGCACACGGGGGGCGCGCGGCCCCGGCCCCGCGGGCCATGGCCGAGGTCCGGGGATCAGGGGCAGCAGGTGCAGTCCTGAGATGCCAGAGGAACCGCATGCACACACACACTCTACGGAGAAACGACTCAGGACCACACCAAGTCTGTATGAAAAGGTATTCTTGTATTACCCTAACCCAACCTACAACCATTATACAAAAATTTACAAAAACAAGTGGGGGTGCACACATGAGCCATATCTAAAAAAGATCAGGAAATCTTCAATATGATTTCGAGGTCGGAGGAATGGATTATGTGCATAAGATCTCTTTGCTGTACAATTCGTTAGATTATTAAATAAGGGTTTTTGCTTTATTTGTGGTTCCTGGGGATTGATCCAGGGCTGGTGCATATTATGCAAACCCCTTTTATTTTTGTTTTTGAGACAGGGTCCTGCTGCTATCCTTGTCGAGGATGGCCTCAAACTTGTGATCCCTCTGCCTCTACCTTCCACAGTAGCCAGGATTACAGGCATCCACCACCATGCCCTACTCAGCTCTCTCCTTTTGTGTTAGACCAATTACACAAGTAATCTATTGGAAGTCCTTGAACTAAGATCCTGTGTAATTTGTGTTGTTTTTGAATGGACCTGGGAGAAAGGTCTGAGAAACTGGTTCTTGGCGTGAGGAGAGTGACATGGGAGACCCTACACCTTTCATCAATCTGGGGTTGTAGCACTTCTGATTATTTATATTTTGGTGGTGCTGGGGTTTGAACTCAGGGCTTTGTGCTTGCTAGATAGGTGCTCTACCACTTGAGACACACCCCTAGCCCTTTTTGCTTTTAATTATTTTTCAAACAGGGTCTTTGCATTTATGCCTGCCCACCTGGACTGAGGTCCTCCTGTCATCCCACGCAGCTAAGATGACAGATGTGTGCCACCATCTTTTGACCAGTTGACATAGGGTTTCTCAAACTTTTTGCCTGGGCTGGTCTTGAACCAAAATCCTCTTGATCTCTGCCTCCTGAGTAGCTAGGATTACAGGTGTGAGCGACTATGCTTGGCCCTGATTCTTTATTTCTGTATATTTTCTAATATTTCTCCGAGAGTTATAGGATCCTGGTGATTACCTAGTCCCATCCCTGTACTTTGAAACTGAAACTGAGTCTCAGGGAGGCTAAGCAAAAACACCCAGGGTCACACGGTGAAACGTCAGCAGCAGACCTGTGACTCCAGGCCTTGTGCTGTTTGCTACTTGACATTTGAGACCCTTACCACCCTCCTCCAAGACTCACAGCAACTGTAGTCCCATGTAGGGCACCTGGATCTGCCTACGTAGCACTTTAAAAATGACCACACGGGATCTCTAAGTCTTATATGCCACATTTCTTGAAGATCTTGAAGCACTGTTACGTATTTTTTTTAAGTCTTAAAATATGGCACTGATTTTACCCCTTGGGTTGGGTATTTTCAAGTTTGGGTCTTGGGAACTATTTGCCCAGGCTAGCCTGGAACTGCCATCTTCCTAATCTCTGCCTTCTGAGTAGCTAGGATTACAGGCATGAGCCACCTGCACCTGGCACTATGCCCCAAGTAATGTTTCCTTTCTATTTGTCACCCGCCTTTTACTAAAATTATTAATGTGTGTACATCTTTCCCACCCAACCTGGGGAGGGCTAGAAGAGCAGTTGTGAGTGTATTTCTCAGAGTGGAGGTGCCCAGAGACCACTGACTGATACCTTGCTGGCTCTTCCTTTGTTACCTGTGCACTGGCCTCCTGTCTCTCCAGCCCCATTCCTTCCCTCCTCCTCTTCTGCCTGCCTTATCATTCATTCCTTGAACCTGCTGGACTCAGGGTGTCCACTTGTTAAACACTGCTCACAGATCCTGCTAGGAAGCCTAATGAGTGATTTTTTCCCACTCCTACCCTGGTTCAGTTTATTTCCCAGAAATATCACAGGATCAGGGAGCCTAGGTCACCCCTGAAAACCACAGTGAACTTTGCTTCCTGGGAAACATGATTCAGAGACATCAGAAGTCAAGTGCATTAGCGTAAACCCTGCAGAGCTTGCCTCTTCACTGGGAACTTGTAAACAGAGGGCTGAGGGAGACTTCGTTTCCCATGCTGGGAATCTGCACAGATGAGGTTGTCTGGAAGAACTGGGCCGACTCTACAGTTCCCTACTCCTTCCCTCACAGACACCTGCAGACTACACGGCAGAAAGCCGGGGTGCAAGGAGAGGGCCCTAGAGACACTTCCAGCTTGGGTTAGTAAACTCTTTCTGAGTCACCGCATTATATAGCCATCCCTGACCTCAGTGTCCGAACCGGAGGCATCACTTTCATCAGTCCCAGCATCTTCAGTCCACAGGCACTGGGAAGAGGCGTTGAGGTGGGGTGACCATGTCCCCTCCCCACTGGCCACCGGCAGGTTTGACTCTCCTCCATGGGAATCCTCTTCTGAGTCCCCCATCTCTTCTGCAAGAGATGATGCCAGACTGTCTTCTTCTGAGGCCTCTCCTGAGTCATCATCAAGAACTCTCAAAAATACTGAGTTTAAATCCACATTGAAGATAATTCTGTCCCCAGACCCCCCAGTGGAGCTGCTGTTGTCCCTGGGAAAGGGGTCCTGGACCAGACTGCCTCTCTTCTTATAAGGCTCACTTGGGTCTTCTGACTGCCAGGGGGGTTTCTCCAGCACCATGGGAGGCTCCAGCTCACCCCTAGCCCCATTCCTGGCCTCAGCCTCGACCTCAGGCTCATCAGGCTCCTCAGCATCTGAGTCTTTGAACTGGGACTCCTGGGAGGTGGCGGAGGAGGTGGGGGCCTGGCTCAGAAGCCTGCCTGTCAGTCCGTGCATGGTATACCCGGCTGCACTTGTTCTGTGGGCCACTTCGTTATCACTGTCACTTTCTTCATCATAAGTATAATTCCACACTTTCTTCTTTCTGTTGATGAAAATGACTTCCACCTTATCCACTGCTTCCAATGGTGGCAGTTCGGGGAACATGTGGGCTAAAAAGTTATGAAAATTCTGAGAGGGAGAGAGAGAAAGAAAGAGGGAGAGTGTGAGGGAGGAAGGAGAAGGGGGAGGAGGAAAAGGGAGGGAGGGAGGGAGAGAGAGAGAGAGAGACTATATTACTTGTGTTTGTGCTTTATTTTTTACATCATAAAACTTAGCATTCATTGCACAATAATGGGAATGGGGTGACAGATCATTGTCAGCTAAGAGCTGACAGTTTTATGGTGAAGTGATGAGGTGCCAGGCACTGCTCTTAGTGCTTCACAGTACATCCTCCAAATGCCAGGATGCTCGTCTCCCACATAAGATGTAACTACAGCATAACTGCTGTGCAAACAGCCATTATACTATATTGTTTAGGGAATAATGACAAGAAAAGTCTGTATAGAAACAATTTTTCCCAAATACTTTTGATCTATGGTTGGATGGAACCTGCGTATGCAGAAGACTTTTTCTTTTCTTTTCTTTTTTTTTTTTTTTGTGGGACTGAGGCTTGAACTCAAGGGCTTTGAGCTCACAAAGCAGATGCTTTACCACTGGAGTCATTCATTTTGTTCCAGTTAGTTTTGAAGATAAAGATCTTGTGAACTATTTGCCTGGGCTGGCCTCAAACTGTGATTCTCCCTATCTCAGCCTCCCAAGCAGCTAGGATTACAGGTGTGAGCCATTGGTGCCCAGCTTGGAAGAACCATTCATTCATTCATTCATTCAGTGCTGGGGATTGAACCCAGGGCCTTGTGTACGCTAAGCGCATGGCTTCTACCACTGGGCTACACCCCCCAGCCCCTAGGCTTACTATTCTTAGGCCCACTTTACAGATAAGAAAACTAGGTGCAGAGAGGTTGAGAAACTTGGCTCAAGTTCATGCCTAGTGAGTGGAGACAGGCTGCCTCAGCAGAGGCTGCTTCTTCTGATTCACTTTCCTCCCAGCTGCATCTCACCTGGGTGCTTCTGCATGCCAGGGGATTCTGTTCAGGTAAGCTGGATAGATTTCCATCATGAACTGCCAGAAAACATTCTTCATGGGTGTCAGAGACAGTAAGTGACAGAGGACTCTAGGGAGCAGATACTGTCAAGGTTAAAACCCAGGGGAAGAGCACCCTCTGTCCTATAGGGCCTTCATGATACAGTTGGCCCTGAAGGGTCAGGGATTGGGAAAGCTGAAGACTCCCATCCTATTCTATCCCAGCCTTTGGAGGAAACAGCACCTTGAGAACACAGCAGGGTGGAATGAACTAAAGGGAAAAGTGAGGCAGGCTGTTTGGCCCTATTGGAGGACCCTATTTCAGACTCACAGATGGGACAATCCATGAGGATGGTCGTAAGATTCTTTTCACCTAGGGACCTGGGATCCTTATCTGCATTGTCCCTCTCTCTACCTGCCTGTGCCCACACAACTGTCCAATGTGACAAACGTGCTCTTCCCCGACTCTACCCAGACCCAGCCTTGGCTATTCTATTTTCTTATTGATTCGTAGGAGTTCTTCATATAACTATATAACTGATACATGAATTATGTGTCAACTACTATGTACATATATTTTCCTCAGCCTATTTGTCATTTTACTTTTTATGATGACATTTGATGAAGAGAAATTCTGAATTTTAGTGTAAGAAAACATGAATTTTATTCCTTTCTGGTTCTTGTTTTTTGTGTCTATGGAGCCTTCTGTATCCCAAAGTCATACAGAATCTCCTATATAGAATGGTCTTTGACTTATGATGGGGTTATGTCCCAATAAACACATAGTGGCCAGATTCTGGTGGCTCAAGCTGTAATCCTAGCTACTCAGGGGGCAGAGATCAGGAGGATCACAGTTCAAAGCCTGCCTTGGGTAAATAGTTTGGGAGACCCTATCTTGAAAATACCCATCGCAAAACAGGGCTGGTGGAGTGGCTCAAGTGGTAGCATGCCTGCCTAGCAAGTGTGAGGCTCTGGGTTCAAACTCCAGTACCACAAAAAAAAAACTATATGAAAATTTCCATTGAGCTATTCATATGGTGGAAGAAACAGGAGAAAGGAAAAGAAAGCAAAAAGAAGTCAAACTGATTGCCCTGTCCCTGGGAAATGGTTAAAGAAACTGATCCATCAGTAATAACAGAATGCTGTGTAAGCATCAGAAATAACACATGACACTATACAAACAGAAAACATGATATGCACGTGTGTACTTAGAACTACACAATGTTTGCAGGATGGGAAAGAACCCAGAGGGATACTCATTGGTGTTTTTGGAAAATGAGATTCTTTTCTGTGAAAATACCTAAGTATATAGTAAAAATTATGTGAAAATAAAAATAAAATATAGAAAAAAAATAAAAAAACTACATACCAAAACCTTGGGGAAGTTAATTTTTAAACATATATAACCAATCCGTTTCAGTGTTACGATGGTGATCATGAAGACTGAAGCTATCAAAAACACAGCAACGAGTATTCCTATTTTAGCAGATTCTGATGGTCCTGTTGAAGGAAAGAGAAAATTACTTTATTTCAAAAGAAATCCAATATGTGGTCGCAGGTGGGATTAAATGCACGTTGGTCTGGACTAGAAAATGCAACACTGAAGAAGCAAAAGTTTGAAAAAAACAATTTTAGATTGATAAATATCAAAGAAAGGCAAGTAATCCAAGTGTGTATTTTTGAGTAAAATTTTCAGTTTATGTTCTATAGTTGTAATATAGTCGATGCTGACTGAAGCTGTTTAATTTGAAATGAGCAAAATTACGTAGAATCAGTAGGCCAGTTTCTCCACCATGCCAGCAGCATCTCAAATGCCCAACGGGTACAAGCTTGCTTATCGCACAGGCAGAAGAGGTGAAGGAGAACAGCCCGCCTGAAAGAACAACTGGGTCTCTCTGAGGCTGGGCTTTGGCCCCACCAGGAACCAAATCACGCCTCCATAAAACTTGCTTTGCTCTACTAGGAGATCCCCTAAGCCTCTCATCAAAATTTCTTTTGAAAAATTTCAACTTTTGACTGAAAGTAGCTTTCTTTCTGTAAGGATAGCTAGACTGGGAAGAAATGGGTAATGGCATAACCAAGACCTTCTTAAATTTCCTGAAAGATCTTTACTGGTGTTGATCGTATAGCCTCAGGAAAAATAGATACAGGAGAGAAACAAGGAAATAAGAGTGGGTTACTTGCTTCAGGTCTTTTAAAAGGTTAGACTGAACAGAAAGAAACTTAGTGAAGACTCTAGCACTGGTATGGAGCACAGACTCTGGAACCCAGTCTCAGAGAGGCCTATGAAGAATGAAGGAGGGACCCATGTACCATGACAGTCCTAGAATAGGTCTGGCCACTGAGGCACAACTTCTTGATACAAAATTCTTCCACATATCCAAAAAAGGATGCTGTGAACCAAAATGACTTCATTGGTGAAGGAATGACATGACACTAAGACTCACGTACCCATCTACCTTCTGGGAAATAGCTACTAAAGACCATGTGTGATCTATTTAATAGGACAGACTACAAACAGAACTGGGCAAATTATGCAAATTGCAATTAACAAGCTAGAACAATGCTTCTCAAATTGAAGTAAAGTCTCAAAGTCCTTTTTGACACTTAATTTTTTTTGCTTTTAGCCTGATGACCATCTAAAAATATACAAGCTCTCTCTTGGGGCAGATTATGTATGCACAATATTTAAAAATATTCCTTTTTGAACCTGTTGAAACTATTCCAGGAATGGGGGAGGCAGAAAGATGGAGGGGCTAAATTAAATTATGATATATTGTAAGAACTTTTGTAAATGTCACAATGTACTCCCCAGTACAATAATAATATGATAATAAAACTTTTAAAAATGAAAATATTCCTGTTTGAAAGAGTGGAATTATGTCATTGTTCTGACTCAGAATGGAGAAGTTGTAGGTGGATATTACTGCTGTTAATCACTTTCTTCATAAAAGAGATCAACTCATCTTGGGGAAGGACAAGGTCATGTCTTCAAAATTTGACCTTGGATAAACCCATCTTTCTCCAGATTCAACATTGGGACTTCTGAAACCTAAGAGACCTCACAGGCAGAGGGTTGAGCTGAGAAACAAAGATAGTAACATAGGATTACTATGATCTTTACTGGAAAAGAAAAAGGACTTTGTCCAAAGATTGATGATGACTAAAGTTAGTTTCTTAGAACTCGTGTCCTGCTTGGCCCTCTGTACTAAGCATTTTGACCTGCCACTTGGAATACTGCAGTGCCAGCCCAGGAGTCACCCGGCTCCCCACCATATGGCATACAGATGTTCCTTTTACATCCTAAGTCAGATTTGCACAAGTCCCACTGGGGTTGCTATCTCTCCTAATGGCTTCTACAGTCCTGTATCAACCAGGGTCTTCCACCCTCTCTGACCTAAACTGTTACTATTCTTTGTTAATTTCATTCCTGCCATATCATGCCAAGGCCAGTCCTGCCTCAGGGCCTTAGCACATGCTGGATCTTCCATATGTAATTCTCTCCAGTAATAATGTCTGCAAGACTCACTCCCTATGCGCCTATATTCCTTTCCTGTTGTCTCCCAACAAATTACCACAAAGTTAGTGGTAAAAACTAACACATATCATCTCACAATTCTGGAGACCAGAAGCCCAAAATGGGTCTCACCGCGATAAAAATCAAGGTGTTGTCAGGGCTACAATCCTTCTGGAAACTAGGAGAAAACCCATTTCCTTGCCTTTTCCAGCTTCAAGAGGCCACTTGCATTCCTTGGCTCTTGCCCCTTCCTTCATCCTCAAGTCGTCTTACAGCATCTTCCAAATCTCTCCATCTCTGACTTCTGCTTCTGTCATCACTGCTCCTTCTCCAATGGAGTCCTCCATCTTCCTCTTTCCTCATGTGCTTACATGAGGCCCACCTGAGTGGTCCAGGATAATCTCCCTGGATTATCTTTTTGGATTTAATCATACCACCAAGTCCTTTTTGCCAAGGGATATCCGGGATTAGAAGATAGCCATCTTTGAGTGGCTATTTTTCTGTCCACCATACCTCCCTTGGTCTTTACTTGGGAAGACCCTCCCGGCCATCTGTGGCAGATATTGCATGTGTCCTGTCCAGTCCTCTTTACCAGTCAATGAGCAGCCCCCAAAGCTGCCCAACATCGTGGCTGGCACATCTGAGCTGCTCCTTCTCCAAGAAATTACACTTAGCCAAAACAGAGCTGCCTCACCCCACCTGGAGGTTATGTCACATCGCACTGGTAACTGAATGACTGGTGAGGGGCTGATCCATGCTCCAGAGAAGCCCCAGGGATCAACTCAAGTGAGGCTCAGTTAAGACACCATTCACTGGCTTAATTTTTATTCCCCATCTTCTGAGGTCCTCCCACTCCACAAATAAATCACATGGACAATAATGCCCATCCCAGGCTCTGCTTCTGGGGACTGTGAAGCAAGACACGGCCCTAAATTAGTGACTCACCCCTTCACCTACCCCCTCACTTCCCTTCTTGCTTAATTTTCTTCACAGTACTTACTGTCACTCTGCATACTACATATTTTGATTTTTATATCTTATTATTCTGTCTCCTACTGCAATGTAAACTCACAATGTCAGGGTTTATGTCTATTTTCTTCATTGCTATATCTCGTGTGTGTGCGTGTGTGTGTGAAATCTGGCCCATTGCAGGCCCCCAATAAATACTTTTCAAGTGAGTGAAGAGCTTCCTTAGGGCTTTACTAAAAGAGCCAAGCGGTGAAGTTAGGGATTGACAAGTGGAAGGAGTTTCACTAAATCTCTGTGATGAATCCCTGTTGGTCAGACCTGACAATGTAGCTTTTGCTGTTGAGCCTAAGTCAGTGCTCATCTCAGCTGTCCTTCTAAGACCCTTGGCACCTGCATCTATCTAGATCTTGAGTTTGGCTGCTTGAGGGAACTAGGGCCAGTGAAGAGTAAGAGGTGCCATGTTATCTGAACTGTTTGCTTCCCGAGTTTCAGAAAAGTTTTTGATAGTTGGGGATTCCTGTATTGGGTAATAACAGAATGAAGGCTGACAATATGCAAAACGAAGACCTGACAGTATGCCGTTCCAGGACCACCAGTTAGCAGGTGGATTAAGAAGAGTCAGGGGAAGAAGTGAATCCTCATGGAGCATGTCGACCTCCAAAGAACTGTCAAGTGCTCAGTTGGTGATTTTGGGTTTCAGTAAGTCCTCATTTGGGGACTGCTGTGGTTGGAGGTTCCTAAAACTCATGCTGAAATTTAATTGCTACTGTGACGGTTTTGGGGGGGTTAATCCTTCAAGAGGTGTTTGGGCCATAGAGGTGTGCTCTCTATGAATGGATTAGCCCTATGGAGGGATAGGCTAGATATCCATGGAAGTTGCTTTGTTTTGAAAGAAGCTCACTTTTTCCCCCTCTTGACATGTGATACCCTCCACCGTGCTCTGATGAAGCAAGAAGGCCCTTCCATCTCAGATTTCCTGGTCCCCAGAATCGGGAGAAATAAATCTCTTTTCTTTATAATTTACATAGACCCAGGTATTATGTTAGAGCAGCAGAAATGGACTGAGACAGAAGCTACATCTGAGTTTCTGCTAATGAAGTGACTCATGGAGGGGCCAGCTAGACTGCTTCAGGGTAAGGGTTGATAGACAGAAGACCTAATCACATGTTCACATGTTGGAACTTCCTTCAAGCCCGATTCCCTAAATTCCAGGGAGGGAAGATGGGCTGGAAATTGAGTAATCCTGTGGCCAGTGATTTAAGCAGTCACAGCTACAGCTTCTCAGTTGGTGAACATATTGAGGTACTGGGCCGGGAGGGGAACATAGACTGACTCCACAGACAGAAGCCCCTGCATTTGGGGACGCTTCCAGAGCTTGTGGCATGTGCTTCTTCCCTGATCTTCACGTGGAACTTCCGCAATAAAATGGTAAGCCTAAGTAGAGGACTTCCCTGAGGTCTGAGAGTCACTTCCTGAAGTCCTCTGAGTCAGTTTAGCAAATTACTGAACTTGAGAGGAAGTCATGGGAATGCCTAAATTTACAGCCACGTTGGACAAGAGTACAAGGAGACTGAGGACCTGAGACTGTTGGCTAACACTTGACCCGGGGAGAATGTTGTGGGGTTGGCACTAACTTTGGGTCATGACTGTCACAAATGAATTGCTGAACACCGATTTGGAGTTGGAGAGCTGGTGTTAGAGCCTCAGAATGCAGATTTGTTTTGGGTTTATGTTTCTGTAAGAGCTATCAGCATATATGCTGTGTGCAGTTTTAGGTTTACCCCTATTTAACTGACATAAAAAACTACTTAAGATTTTCCCTTTAAAGTCAGGCTGTTCACCATTTGGCTCTGAGAAGCACTGCAGAGTGAAACCACACTGTTCATCTCCAGCATCTTTAGTGTAGCTGTTTAGAGTAGCTTGCCGAATTCAGAAATAACCATAACACTTACAGTTATTTCCATGTAAATCCAATCTTATTTTTACTCTGGTAAATCAGAACATCCAAGGCCTTCCAGTGGGGTCAGGAAATCTAGAAGGGCTTCTGTGAGGGAGATATTCAGAGATTTTCCCTTTGGTAAAACAGCTGGGGATCTGGTAAGTTCCTGAAAAGACCCTTGGAGGGAAGGCTCCTAAGCTCAACTGTTTTTGTGGCACATTTCTGCAGACGGAAGAAGGTTGAGATCATACCATTTACTGGCTGGGTGGCTTTGCAAGAGAAGAGCTTTCTGCCTTCATTAGTGACTGTCCTCTCTGGCAAGGACCCTTTCAACCAGGAGTAGAGCTAATGCTCCCATACGCCAGGCCCTATCTGTGAGCTGCTTCCATATCAAATCTTCTCAGGCTTCTGTGTATTCGCTCAGGCAACACTGCATTTTCCAGCATTGAGCTTGAACAACGGTCAACCAAAGAGCACGAAGTGCTGAATTTAATCCTAATTCCCTGAAATAAAAGCATTTCCACTTCCAGAAGAGGTGTGATCTAATAAAGGTAGACATTTGACTATCCTTATGGTAGGGCAATACAAACATGATCACTAGATAAGTACAGAGATTGGTGAACAGAAAACATCTCTAAGGTACACATTTATTGGATGAAATACCTTTAGCACACCATGAAAACCAGCAGGTTTTCTGTCAAAGTAAAAGCATGGATTTTCATAACATGAAATTTCAAAAATTAACCATACCTGATTCTGGGCCCGAATGAAGGACAGTGCATTTTAAGGGAGATTTTATTACTGTTCCCAGACTCATAGGCTCAAAGTAAACAGATACACAGTAGTTTGTATTTGGAATTAAATTGTTAATGATGTAGCTGAAATTTCCACTCATGTCTCCATTTATTTTGGGTTTGTGCTGCAAAAAGAAACAAACAAAAAAAATCAGTAAGACTTTGGTGTGAATTTCAAGTAGAGGTAGGCCCTAAGAGACTCTTTGGGATTTTGTCTTCAAATCTTAAATAGGGTTAGAAATATTACAGGTGTGGTAAGAAAAAAGTGATGTGGAGCAAGCCACCACATGTATTTATACACACACACACACACACACACACACACCTTAAAACCATGAATTCTAGCCTGTCAACTTCATTTAATATATAAAAAAAAAATGTCCCAATGAGAAATAAAGGTTTCCATGATTCCATTTTTGATATGGGGCAGGCATGTAAAAAGGGAATAACATTTACAGAGAGGAGCTCGAGAGCAGGTCCAGGACCATATCTGGGTACATTTTGCCAAACATTCTGCCCTACCATTGTCCTGGAGTAATGGTTGACTACTTGTTGGTCCAGTGGCCAAGTCTCCAGCAATGACCCCAACAGTGACTTCCGCAACTCTAGAGGATAGCCAGAGGCCTCATTTGCATCTCACTATGGTTGTGGTTCCATGCATGCACCTCCCTATTGCCTGAGCCTGGCCTCTGACCACAATCCTCCTACCTCTGACTTCTACATTCACCACCATGCCCAGCTTTTTTGTTAAATAGGATCTTGCTAACTTTCCCCCCAGGATGGCCTTGAACAGTGATCTTCCTGCTCTTTGCCTCCCTGGGATTACAGGCATGTACCACCATGCCTGGCCTGGTCTATACTTAACACACCAAGTCTTGGATCTTCATATTCAGAAGTTCCAGACTCACAAAGCCCTCTGAAGTTCAGCCTCATTCCCTCTCTGAGCTCACCCCTCTTGGTCTCTCCTCTCAGTCACTCTACTCCAGCCACCTCTTCCTGCTATTTCTCAAATCCACTAGGCCCACGCCTCATGGCCTTTGAATTTGCTGTGCCCTCTGCTTGAAATGCCCTGCCAACATTGTATGGGCTGGTTTTACTTGCAAGGGTTTTATAACTGGTAAATGGCTCTGTACACAAAAGGTACCATTACAGCAGGGCCTACCAGTGAGTACGCTTTGTCCATTTTTACAGATGCCAGCCTTTTGAGGGATGGAGACAACAAAAAATTGAAGATCCAAGTCTGTTTCAAACCAAGGTCACCCCAAGATTACTAACATTCAGTTGGGTCCTTCAGGGAAACCAGGAGGGGACAGAACTGCTAGACAGCACCAATTCCCTTGTTGTGTCTGAGGCAGGAGAGACAGAGACAAGTGTTTGCTCATGTGTCTCATGAAATCACTCTTTCAGAGAGCTCACCATGGCTTGCTGAGATCTGGCAGCTCTCTCTGTCTACCATATGCCTCTCTCTCCTGTGTGTCTCCTGATGTCGTGCACGTGGCTTGTTCTTTTGAAGAAGACTGAGCTACTGGGCTAAATCACTATACTTTTGCAATGAATGATCTAGAGAGACTTCTTTCCTAAAGTCAGACCACACTGAAGACCAGGCCTTTTAACTTGAATTCTTTAAGTGCACATTTCTTTTTAAAAGAGCGCCAAGCACATCCATCACCAGATCAGAACTGTTTTGATCCTAGCCTTAGGGACCACTTACCGTCTTCACAATCTTCTCTGAATGTTCTCTGATGACGAGTGATAAATAATACTGTATTTTTTGTCCATATATCTTGGGACCAACAGGTGGGAACATCACTGTCACATTAATGTGGTCAGTAAAGCCAACAATGTCAAACTCTGGCGGCTCAAAAGACACTGTTCAGAAACAAAGTCAGAAACAAACCCTGATTTATCAGTCAGTGACTCCATATGATAATGACTCCCATTGTCAGGATAATCTCATTTCTCTTAAAGAACAGCTATTTCCTTTTTAATATGCCTATAAGCCTCGCTGTAGCATGCTGTTTTTATTTTATTGGTAAAAACCTGAGAATACAAAAAGTAAAATGGTTTAAAAAATTCAAGACAGATTTTGGGATAGAAGTCCACAACTTTCCCAGTTTTCAGGTTGTAGTCTAAACAAAAGTTAAAAGTTACTTATTTTCATAATACAACAATAATACATAATAATGTCACATAATCATTGTGAAATACAGATAGGCAATTGTCTTTGAATGCAATCAACTTTTCTATGTTGTGTGTATATATATATTTATGTATCTGTACATATGTATATGTGTATATACACACATACATACACACGTATATGTAAATTAAAATTAAATCATTCTAACCCACACAAATTCTTGTGGTTTTTCTGAGACAGGATCTCACTACATAGCCAAGGCTGGCCTCAAATTGGCTATGTAGCTTTTGAACTCATAATCCACCTGCCTTACCCTCGTGTACTGAGATTATAGGTGTGCATCACCATGCTTAACTACAGCTTATAAGCATATTAATACATATTTATCTGTATCAAAAGACCCATGGCTCTGACTTTTGTACAGCCTTCAAGTTCAGCAAGGTTTTTATTTTTACAAGGATTTAAAAAAAAAAAAAAAAACAGCAAAAAAACCCAGAACAACATGGGACAGAGACCACATGCCCGACGAACTCCTAAGTGTTTCTTCTCTGGTCCTTTATAGAAAGTCTACTGATCCCTGACTTGCATCATAATTTTCCCATAGGTAGTTCAGTCCGACGATGTGGCTGAACCATGATTTAACCGAGCCACTGCTCTGAATATTTAGATTGTCTCCAATGTCTCTGAATGGGCTCAGTGTATTAGTCAGCATTCCTGGAGCTAACTCTGCATTTGTCCTTAATTTCTTAGGACAAATTATTAAAGAGGAATTCTAGACTGGAGCAGGCACATGTTAAGATGTTTAATACATACTGCCCAATACCTTCAGAAGGACTGTGCCAAAACACGTTCTGCGTATTTCTTCTAATCCTTTTTAATTTATTTTCCTATTTATCATTTGGAGCACAAAATGTATTTCATCACTACTTAATATACATCCTTCAGCAACCCAAATACCATGGTCCATAACTCATGCTTCCTCTGTTTTCTGTGAGTGCATACACAGATGGCTGCTTTGTCTAAGCCTGCTCACCAGTGGAGTGAGCTGAGCATTGAACTGTCTGTCACAGTGGGATTCAGCCATCGCCACTCTGCAAGACATGGGTGTGCATGTAAACATGCATCCTACAATCGTTCTTTTAGAAACTGGAATGGTAATGGAGCTGGGTCTGTTAACACAAGTGCCTTGAGCAGTGCTCTCGAGACACAGGAAAAGAAAGAAAAGAGGAGCTCTAGCCTTCACCTCTGAGCTTTGGACCCCAGCTGTGTGCACACCCGGTGTCAACATGTGTAAGAGCTGGCTGTTAGGTTACAGTCTGGGGTGGGGTTGCGACAGTAAGGAAAAACACTGACTCAGAGAGATGTGATAGCTTCCCTGCAGCTACCCGAACCCCACTCCCCAGCCCCTGTCAGGCTGTAAGTGAACAGAAAAACAGCAACTAATATTGCCTGAATGCCTGCCTTGCTCAGGCATCGAGTAATCATTTATAAGGTACAGGTTATAGTTCCACTTTTCAGATAAGAAAGCTGAGGCTCATAGCAGCAAAGTAACTTGATCGAGTTACAGAGCTGGGAAGGGCAGGGTGAGACAGGCTCTAAGACAGCTTTGCAGAGCTTCCTATCTCATGGCAGAGCAAATAAAGATGATCTTCCTGAGGCTGGGACACAGAGATCAACTCACTGTTTGTGGACAAGATACTGTTCAAGCAACGGACCAGCGTGGTGTTCCCACTGAATGCTTCCAACATTGGGATGTAGGTCTCGGGTGTCTCTTTCCATACATCTGTTAGGTCACAAAATGATGTCGTGATATTTGTACAATTCTCAATAATCTTTGGATTTTCTGGTCTACTTTGGAAAGAAAGAAAAAGGAAAACTTTAGAACGTACGTAATGAGAGTCCATTTTCTGTGTACCTCACCATCTCACTTTCTTTAGGGGTCTGCCAAAGTACCACTGAATGACATCACCTTCTCGAACTACCTTATTTAAAAATGAAATACTTTATACTCCCCCTTCCTCCACATTCTCAATCCCTCTTACCCTTCTTTGTTTTGGTTCAGTTTACCTCCATCTGCCACACTGTACCTTTACTTGTTTAACAATATCTTCACGTACTTTCAGAATCTCTGCTCCCAGAGGAGCTTTGTTTCACAGGCAGATCCCCTGGCGCATTGTAGGTACTCAGTAAATACTTACTGAATAAATGAATGACTGAGCCTTGGCCTTCACAGTAGAGGCTGCAGATCTCCCTTCCCCTCCAGGACAATCGTGATTGCCTTCCCTGACATCCCTTTTCTCTTTGGCTGAAGGCTACACGGTCCAGTTCTAAGTCTGAACTGTGCAAGTGTAGGGAGAACACAGACACCTGGTCTACAAGCTTTAGAAAGGTAGGTAGAGGACATACATGACAACCCAATACAGAGGGAAACTTTAAGACTTTAGCAAGCTGAAAAGAAACTCACAAGAGGCTCTCCCTGGGCCAGCAACTGCAGCTAGAAGGGAAATAAACAATCAACAAAAGGACATTTCAAGGGGCCTCTGGGTCAAAGCAATAACTTATGAGAGTGACTGTTGAGTATGGGAAAGAGGGCCAAAGAAGTCTCCATCCGTTCTGTCTTCAGTCATTGCAGCAACCCCAAGCAGAGGCCCAAGTTCAGAGGGTCTGTGCTCTGGCCCAAGGCTCAAGCCAGTTAGTGATGCAATCAGACTTTGGACCCAGGTTTGTTCTACATGGGGCCAGGCAGCTTTATGGCACCTCATCTGCCTCCCTGAGTAAAGAGAAGTGAACATAAACCATCAATATGTCCAACAAACCTTTGTATCTCTGAAAAACTTGAACTTTTAAAACTTTCACATTGACTGAATTACAGAAATCACTGTGATAACTGGACACAGACATGATTTTGCTTGAGAGGTACTGATGTGTAGAAATTGGCTTGGTTATAGATACAAGCTTTGTCAAAAATATCTTTGGATTATTAAAGAATCCAATTTAATTAAAAATGGATGGGTGTTTCACCTTTGGCATTTTAAGGCTCTGAATAAAAAAAATCAAGACAGGAAGGAGTGGGTGGCGAAGAAAGGGGAAGAGAGAGAGAGAGAGAGAGAGATCACATGATGGAAAGATAATACCTTTAGCAAGAGAAAAACGAAATGTCAACCAACCTCATGATTGTGTACTGCAATATGTAATGAGTTGGTACAATGGAGGAGTTTCTTAATTGCCATGATAAAATTAGCCGGAAATTTCGTGCTGTCATCTTGAAAGTGCAAGGTTTGTCTGAGAAACCTAAGGGAACAGGAGGGGGAAAGACAAGCACTGAAGTTTGGAGCACTGCATTTTGGTCATTGTTTTCTCTGTTCCTTGGGAAGTCTGGACGGAGAAGCCCTCTGGAGAGCCCTGGGTTCTTGGAAACACAGGAAGTCTACTGGACATGGGATATGAACTAATACAGTTAATCACTGAGCAACATATTTTCAGGGCAGGAAAACTTAGGAAACAGGAACTCAATGCTTTGTAAACAGAATTTGGATAACTGGGGTGAGTTATCCATCCACTCTGTAACTCATTGGACCAAAATAATCCAGGTCATTCTGGGCACATGGTCTGCTTCTTGGCTCCCTCTCCACCCCATTCTCTCATCATCTCCCCACTCCCTAGTGAGTAGGGCAGCCCATTTTGGGCTTTCCTCCGAGGGGATCCCCCACTGTACAGAACATGGGGGAGGACAATTTGACCCCCACCTGGCCATTTCTAGGCATTAAACACACAGCAATGCTGAAGTAGGTACTAATACTAATAGGCACATTTTCTAGACTGTGAAATTGAGTTGAGTTATAAAATATTATGCACTGGGGAGTGGCAGTGGTGAATGAAAATAATGTTCCACCTTTTATTGCTAAAATTTTAAAAAGTCATTTAAGTTTTTTGTGGTTAAGACCCAGGCCTTTGTTTGCGGGTTACCACCTCCTCATCCTACTGTTTATCAGAAAGCCAGACACACATGCTGACTTCACAAAGTTTCATAGTCAGATTTTTTATATTTAGGTAAATGTTTTAGTAAAAAATAAAATCTTTTCCCTTATTTGGAACTAATAAGTAGAAGAACATAAATTGAGAAATAATTTCTGGATCATTTTTTTGTTTGTCTCCTCAATCTTCTATTGGTGAGTATATTAAAAGCCTGAATATTCTTTCAAGAGGTTTTAAAATAATTTCTAATGTTCATTTCCTGTAATACAAATATGACAACCAGAGTTAGTTAATTCTAGCTCATTTTACAGATAAAGGATTCCAATAAAATAGGCAACAGGTTTGGAATCAAAAACGAAATTTCCAATATTTTCTATGTCAAAATGGTCAACCCAATACTTTGACCCTTATACAAAATTTAATAATGCCAAACACATCTCTTACCCTCGAAAGGATCATCCAATGTTAGGCTCACGTACACTAGGAGGAAGAAAATTAAGTTAGAGAAGCAACAAAGTTTTCTCTGGCCTCAGCTTAAAATCGGTACTCTAAGTTTGAGACTCTTACACACGTGCATTAGTTAACATTGGGTTGAGATGTTCTTGTGCTAACCAAAATGCTTAAGCAAACAGTTCTTAGCTACTATCGTACCATCAGCATGTGCATCCTGGTGAATCCAAAATCACATCAGTCATTAACATCGAGGGTTGGTTTGGTTGACAGGGTGTGTCTAGACACAATTATATACGTGAAAAAATTCCCAGACTATAAATAAGCAAGTTACTAATTAATACACGTCAAAGGTAAAGACCTTCACTAAAGATGGTGGAGGAAGAAAGGGCATTTGTAATGGGAATTGGTGAGTCTCTTCCCCTTGGGGTAGGTACAGGTAGGTGGTAGCATTGGTTTCCTAGATATAACAATGACTTAAGGGAGAGTGGGGTTCCTGACATTTTTGGAAGGTGGAGACTAAGGATGCTATATGTTATTCATACACATTCTGTACTGAGACCACTGTCCCACTCCTGGATCCCCTACTAATAAATTATGGGGCAGAAGACAGTGTGATACTGATATCGAATCAAAAGGAGAGAAGAGACAAGGTATGATGAAATGCATAAACCAAAGTTTACGAATGAATTTTTAGTCTGGTGGACACTGTAAGACATAAGGGCTTTGGAATCTTTCTGAATGCAAGAGTACAGTGATAAGCACCCCCTGGATTAGACTGAGGGCATAAGAGGAATCCCCCTTTAAATTATGCACAAGGATACTTCCCTACATTATTGTATGTTATATTATTCTTGTCTGTTGGTTTTCCTAAAGCTAACAGTAGACAGAAACCATAGAACTTAAGCCATTTGTGGGGGCTTCCTGTCTACTTTCCATGAACACCTGACATGATGTGGGACCTGCAGTCAGGGAGAGATCAGCTTGCTGTTCCACGGTGGGGACCTGCAGGATGATGACAACATAGGTTTGCTCCTAAGAGAGCTGGGATGAAAGAGCACTTACCCAGAAGGCACAAATGAAGCAATCTGATGGCTGAGGCTGCATTGTAGCTCAAAAGCATCTTTGTTAGTTTTTAAGTCCTTTCTTTACTTTCACATCTGAAAGGAAACAAATATTAGGTGATGAAAATTCTGAGATGCCTAATTAAACCGTAAAAATAAAAACAGGGACAATGACAAGACAATCAAAGCCTAGAGAGAATCAGAGCCAAATTCCTGGTTCTAACTTTCTCCTCCCTTGCAGGAGCTGGATCATTTTCTGACACTAATCCCCACCTAGTCAGGGAGGAATTTAAATTTAACTTTTGACACATAATGACCATTTGATTAAAAAAATTTAAACATATAAAAAAGTACACAGTGAAGACTCTTGCTCCCTTTAGAAAACTACTTAATTTATTTTTTGTGAATTCTTCAGATTGTCTTTATACATAAGCAAAACCAAATATATATATTCTTTTTTTGGGACAGGGTCGGTAGCCCAGGCTGGCCTCAATTATCTTCCTGCCTCAGCCTCCTGAGTACTGGGATTTCAGGTGGGTACCACCACACTGGCTAAACATATATTAGACAAGAGATAGCATGTATGGTCCCTGTTCAACTTTGATTTTTTTCCACTTAAAAAATACAGAGCCAGGTGCTGGTGGCTCATGCCTATAATCCTAGCTACTCAGGAAGCAGAAATCAGGAGGATTGCTGCTTGAAGCCAGCCCTGGGCAAATAGTTCAAGAGACTCAATCTCTAAAAATTCATCACCAATAAGGGCTGGTAGAGTGGCCTAAGGTGTAGGCCCTGAGTTCAAACCCCAGTACTGCAAAAATAGTATCTCTACATAGGAGCTCTTTTCACCAAAGAGAATTCTCTTGCTTTTGTTTTTTAAAGCATTGCATAGCACTCTCCTCTTGGACATACTATGATTTATGAAACTGGCCCTATGACAGGCATTTGAATTGTCTCTAGTCTTTTCTGCAAACAATTCTCTTGATACACATCATTTCACCATGTACAAGTCTAAATGCAGGCAAATTTCCAGATGTAGGAATCCTGGGATTGAACCGTTTCCAATGTGTCACCTTCAGTTCATGTGTGGGAAACTTAATCCCCAATGCAGCCATGTTGAGATGGGACCTTCAAGAAGTGATTAGGTCAGGAGAGCACTCATCACAGGAGTAGGTTCATTATGGAGAGTGGGAGCTGTTATAAAAGGAAATTCAGTCCTCTCTTGTTCTCTTGCCATGTGATGATACAGCAAGAAAGACCTGGCCTAGTACAGTCCCTTGATTGTGGATTTCCCAGGCTCCAAAACCACAAGCCAAATAAATTTTTATTCATTACAAATTACCCAGTCTATGGTATTCTGTTATCACAGCACAAAATGGATGAAGACATTAGGTAACAGGCCTATCAGCCAGGGTCACAGCAGTAGATAGCACGTTCAAGTAAGGACATTTTGAGGAAGACTTTAGTCAAGGGGCTACATCTGTGCAAGCCAGATGTAGGTACACAGTAAGCATGCCGATCCTCCTCCAGCTAACCACAGTAGGGGTGTGACCGGCTTGAAGAGGAAAAAAGAAACCAACACAACTTGGGAAGGGGAGATTCCTCTGTGGGGAGATACGACATGAAGCTCCTCCATGCCAAAGGGTCTGTGCAGGGAGGGGGCTAAGGAATAAATATTCCTCACTGTGTCCTTTCCTTCTTTTCCCTGGGGCTCCCCATTGGCCAAACCCAACCAGAGGCCATATGACAAGGGAAATGTGGTTGTGTTCTCAGGGGAAAGGGTGGGGAAGACCAAAGGGTAGGGAAGGTAGAGGATGAATCTGGATGGACAGGCAGAAGTGACCTGACAAGAGGACTATGCATTTGTAACTAATAGAAACTGCCACACTGCCTGCTCTCAGGGCTATATCAATTTATATAACCACATGGAACATGTGAGAATTTTTGATTCTCCCCCAACTTTTCATTAGAGGTACCATCAAGCTCTTGGATTTTTATCAAATTTATAAAACACAAATTGTTTTCATGCTAATATAATTTCTCTTATTCTGAGTGAAATTGTGCATCTTTTCAAACCTTTAAGGGCTATTTTTACTTCCTTTCCTAATACTATTCCTAACTTTGTCCATTTTGGAGGGGAGGGATGGGACTAGGTTTTGAACTCAGAGCTTCAGGCTTGTAAAGCAGTCACTTTACCACTTGAACCACACCTCCAGTCCATTTTGCTCTGGTTATTTTGGAGAGGGGGCTCTCATGAACTATTTGCCCAGGCTGGCCTCCTGATCTCAGCCTCCCAAGTAGGTAGGATTACAGGCATGAGTCAATGGCACCTAGCTATTTTTTTTTTTTTGGCAGTACTGAAGTTTGAACTCAGGGCCTCACACTTGTTAGGTAGGTGCTTTACTATTTGAGCCACTCCATCAGTCCTTTTTTATGCTGTGTATTTTTGAGATAGGGTTTTGTAAACTATCTGTCCAGGTTGGCCTCAAACAGTGATCCTTCACATCTCAGCCTTCAAAGTAGCTAGGATTACAGGAGTGAGCCACTGGCACCCGGCTTTGCCCATTTTTTGTATTGAGCTGTCGTCCTTTTTCACAATGGTTTGCAGAAACTTTTTTTTTAAGTATGAGGGAAACTGGCTTTTCATAATATGAATCACTCTTTCTTTTTCTCCCACCCCCCAGTTTGTCACTTGCTCTTTGCTTGTGCTTTTTTTTTTAACCACTCGAACATTTCTGAGTTTCGTGTTTTCAGTTTTAAAGGTACAATTGGCCCTCTGTATCTGATAGTTCCACATCAGTGGATTCAACCAACTGTGCATCAAAAATATTAGAAAAGGAATTGCATCTATATTTAACATGTATAAACCATTTTTCTTTCTCCATATTCTCCAAACAACACAGTATAGCAACTGTTCACATAGCATTCAAAGGTAATCTAGAGATGACTGAATGTATACAACAGAATGTCAGTTACAAACAAGCACTATGTCATCTTATAAAAGAGAACTGAGCATCTGTGAAATCCGGGATCCACAAGAAATCCTGGAAACGACCCCTGAAGGGACGACTGTATTTTCTTATTCAGCTTCTGTGTTTTGAGTCTTGCAAAGCCTTCCCCACTCCAAGATGATACGGGGATTCTTCAAGAATTTTAAGGAGCTGCAATTGCTCTTGTTCCTTTTCTCTCAGACTTTTCATCCTTATGTCATTCTGTAGTCTCTTGATACTGGGGCAGTTTTGAGCCCCAAGGAAAAATGAAAAGTGATCATGAAACAGCAGACTGAGTTCAAGCTACATGCAACTTAACTTTAAAAGTTCTCTTGAGCACTGGCTCACACCTGTAATCCCAGCTACTTGGGAGGTGAAGATAGGAAGGCCAGCCTGGGCAAAAGCATGAGACCATGCCTGAAAAGCAACAAAAGCAAAAAGAGCTGGGATAGCCTTATGAGTGTGCCATCATCTCCCATCACTATGACAGCAGAGGAGATGCATGGTTATGAAATTCCTCTAGATGCAGGGCACACCCTCATTGTAGAATGTCACATCTGAGGTGACTCCCTTATACTTGAATATCTGACCTATGCCCTCTGCTCCATGCTTTTTTTCTGATTGTGTGTACATCTTCATCTTAGCTTACTTTAAATTTTGTACGCCTTTATCTTTGTTAGGCATATCTGCAGCAAGACTCAGTCCCTCTAGCAGGCACACACGCACGCGCACACACACACACACACAATTAGAAGTCCTGCTTTCCTCTTTGAGCCAGAACTGATACTCTGCTTTCCAACCAGATGTCTGATAACTAGATTCCTGCTTGTTTATAAAGTCTAATTTTGAGCCTTGGAGTCCTGCCTGAATTGTTAATGGAGCTCTTCAAAACTCTCCCTGATAACAAACAGCTCAGTCTTTCTAAAGCAAGCTCTTGTTGAGAGCTCTAAGCCAAGGCCCATCTCAGTCTCCCACGGCCCTGTAAGTAGAAGGGTCCCATACTTGATTTAATGCTTCCTTTTGGCTATCTTAAAATTCTTAATAATTTTATTTTTCATTGTGTGTTTTGTTAGTGCAGTCTGGTGGGCAGGGGTGCACCTGCTGGGCTAGGAGCCTCAGCTCATATTTGGATCACTTCTCCTTTGTGGTATGATGGGTCTCTGTGCCCTATGACTGCTGCCACCCTTTGGTTGGGTGCCAATTGGGTCACATCAGCAGAGTACACCATCCATTGAAGACCTCCCGGTATGGGTGCTGGGAAGTCAGGGTTGGGTGCTCTGGCCCTGCCAGGGGCTAGAATCAGGTAAACTGGAGGCTGTGCCCTCTCTGGGCTGGCAGTACTTGCAAGCTTCACCAAGGCGGCAGTTGGCTGGAGGTTGTGTCTGGTGGGAGTAAGCCTCTAGGTCACCCAGTCCAGGTACATTCTGCTCACATTCTGAGCAGAAGTTTAAAGACTCTTAAATGTGGCCAGTAGGTTATGACTTGGGATGGTAGGTCCTTGGGAAAGGGAGATAGGAAGCTTGAATTCCCCACAGCACCTCCCCCCACCAGTGGGGATCTGCACTGCTGTTCCCCCAAATTCCCTGTGCCAGAGGAAGCACTCCTTTGGACAGTTTCATAATGAGAGGGACTCTCCCCTCTGAAGCTTCACTAACAAAAAAATCAAAATGGCAGAACGGCCAAAAGAGAGCAAAAGAAGCCTTGGAGATTTTTCTGACGAGGGTAAATTGCCATCTAGACATCATGTCAGTAACTTAATCCACCAGAACAAATAATTTTCTGGAATCTAACAATACCTTGCAAGGTTTGAGCAATACTGGAATGACCAGTTTTTGCTTTTGACCTAGACATACTGATGGACTTATGAAAGTTGTGATGAGCAAACTGCTTTGCCTCAGTTTCCTACTGCTGGCCTTACCTAATCCTGCAGCTTGTTTATCTCTCCCAAAGAATGCTAATTTCCAGATATTCCCTCCTCCTTTTCCTGTTATAAAAGCTTCAGTCCTGCTTAGCCAGGTAGAATATTCACCTAGCTTTTAACTAAACCTATGTTTTCCCAATGTGCAAATCCATTTTGCATGGGTGTGTGTGTGGGGGCTGAGAGGTAGC